CAATCCAACCAAATTGCTTTCTTTGACTCGTTGATTGCCACTACATCTTTAGATTAATTTTTCCTATTGCATTACCCACTTATGCAATATATAATTTGAATTTACGTAAAATCTTCAATTTTAGCTTTTTCCATCTAAAACTTATACATATTCATTTTAAATATAGCCAATTGCCATTGTACAATTTTGCATCAAACATACTTAAAAAGATTCAAAGTACTCTTGAGACATTTTAAAATTCATTACATAGTTTTCATAGTTTTTTGCTATCTTGATCTAGATATTTTGAACATGGGATGGATCCATAAATGAGCCAAGCTACATGAGCTTCGTCTAAAAGCAATGAAATTTATCCAAAATAGATAAGATAAAAAAAGAAACTTTTGCAATTCATAAAGAGAAAAGTGAATTCATTGAATGAATGAATTGGATACGACGTCTATCAAAGAGCACTTTCATCGCAAAGTTAGACATACAAATGCATGCAGCTCGCAAGTAGAGATAATTGAAACAAGTCTAGATCACACTTGGACACACTCATAAACTTACCAGTCTTTAGTTGAAAATCACATAGATCAGGAGGTGCACTGCACTTAGGAGATTATGAATCAAACGTGGACATCTGAAGTGCCAGTGAAGCTTGAATACGTTTGTTCCATAGCAGGAGTATCCAATCCCACTTATGTTGCAAAAATCTACTTGATATGCGGAAGGATATTATTGCAAACAACAATGCACATCCCTTTACAATTTCTGTCTGAATTTCTTGGTTCTCAGCGCACTCCAACAAATTAAACGCCATCGACTACCCTTACCAAAAAATAAAAGAAGCTATTGTTAATTTTATTTCCTTTGATTGTGCATCAGTTTCAATATGTATATAGAAATCAACTGTTTTATACGTAGATTCATTTTGGCCGGCTTTCCTATTTCCGCGCAATGCCATGAACACTATGATTACCTCAATACTGAACACGAGGCATCACTGCGTGGGCCCAAGAGCTTCACCTTTCAACGTCCTTGAGTGTGTAGTGGGGTCTGCACTGCGAAATTGACCTCATTTTATTGTATTGTTACCTGCTGCACTGATCTAGACACCATCCTCCATATGTACTCTCGGATTCCCCTGGAAGGAATGAAATCACAAAATGATGGGCTCTCTCTAAGCTTCTACAGGACGCATGCTTGAGCATGTTCAGACATCTATCAGTCAGAAAATTCATTAGATCGAAGTACCGACACTCGTCCATTCTCGACTGGACTTGACTCAACCTCTGGATAGTCTAACCTACTGTTTTCACAGTTTCCAAAAACAGAAGTCATGCGTAACGAGTACGAGGCTCCCGAGGTGTGCACGTTCTAAATGCTTTGGTCTTCCGGGTTCCACTACTGGATTTCTGATGCGCAAGGATTTATTTTGCAGGTCATCTGCTTAAACGACGATCGAGCAGAAAGAACATTGCGTCCACCGGATTACTTTGCATTCGAGATCTTAATGCAGGAAACCCGGACAATTACGAGAGGATTCACTCCGTCATCTCCTCTTGTTAGATAATCTAGCTTGTTTACTTGTTTAAGTTTAATCTTCCATGATGATTCCACGAAGCACCAAAATCACTTTGTGTTCCACGAGTTCGCGTCTGTTCCGTTGATCTTCTTCGACAGGTTGTAGCGGGCCGTTCCGGCCACAGAAGAGTGTGTGAAAGAAGTGGTCTTACTGCATGCAATACAATTCTGCATATTGCAGTCTCGTAAGGTCGTAAGTAAATTTCAGAATGAGTTAGTCCCACTTTCCTACCTGTATGTTCACGATCCTTCCTTACTGTACTGCCGACTGCCGATGTAAAATGAGCTCTAGTTATGTCATACTGAATCTTAGTATGACATAGTCAGATTCCTCTTTCATACTGAATCATGCGATAATCACACTCCGCTGTGAATATGACGTATGGCCTTGATACTGTCCTATCCATTAGTGTAGAACAGTAGAAAGAGTATCTTGCTGATTCTTCATATCTTCATTATTATATATGAAATACACAATCAGCAGATTCCTCCATCTGAATTCAGTTGGATTTATATAGCTTTGAAGACATGATGAAAGTATGACGTTTATCACTGTGTCACAACGCTAGATACCGAAAATGAGCTCAATATCTAACTTCAATAGAATAGTGTCAGATAAACTGTAAGAACATTTATTCGCAACTTCGGAAGCAGTCGATCGATATTCTATATTTATCGGAAACAATAGAAAAAACAACGTGAGAAGAAACCGTTACGGGGACTTCCAATGTACGTAAGCAATTCTATTACATTATCAAGTTGCTCGATGTCTCTGTCACGAGTGAACTGTCCGACTTATCCAGCTTTCTTAAAAGTATGGCTTCATCTTCTCATCGAGTTCACAATATTATTGGAATCTGTATTCATGTGAACCCATTTTCAGGGTTGAAACATACATGGCCGGAAGACGTCTGAAAATGAATATAGATGTCGCCGAAAGCATTCATTAACTCGTTCCACATCTAGTAAACTAGAATTTGAAAAAAATAGTCGATGATTATGAACTCTTGGTCTCGTGGAAGGAATCACAATTATATAAAGACAAAAATGCATTTCTTCAATCAAATCAATGATTGTCATCCTCAAGTTGCCACAACTGATTGTAAACTTGAGAGGACTCTTACAAATTTCCGAGCAGTAAGTACGGTGTTTTCGTTTGATTTGCATCATAAGACTTATAAATGATCACAAAAACATCAAATTCATCATGCTGCTGTCTGTTGGAGTTAATGACGGCTGGTTGTGTGCTTAGCATAAAATTTGTCGTCTTATCACCTTAAAGATGCTGAGCACTTTCTCTTGCAATTGTAGTTCTAAACATCACAAAGTTAAAGGATGTACCAGAAGGTATTGGTGGAACAGAAACGAGATCTCTGGATAGGAATGAGGCAATTACCAGAGCGAGGGCTGAGAAGAAAATCTCTTTGGTGGTTGAAAATGTGGCTAACATGACTTATGAATAAATTCGATGAAGGCAAAAATTAGAGACAAACAGAATCCTCGTATAAATATTTTGTCCTCCTTTTTCGTCTGGATTTTCGGGGACTTTATCGAACAGTTGTATCGTTGTGGGTGTCCGACAAAACAATGCCGTGACGAGTACTCATTGCCGGCATGATGCACTCCAATTTGAAGGCAGGCGTCGTCGGCTTATTTGAAGACGTTTGTCGGGTACGGGAGACCTTTGGGGTAGAACTCGTCGAGACGGACGAGGTCTTGCTGCATCCAGTACCCGAGCGGGATTAGTATCGTCAGCTTTTGCTCAGCGAGATGCCTGGCAGTGTGATCCATGACCTCCAGTGCGCTTTAAACGCTGCATCTGCAGCCTCTTGGCCCAGACTCGTACGCAGCTCCACTCGCCATCTTTGCCTGCGCAGCCAACAGAGGTCCAATGATTGTACATCATCCACGACACCCCCAGTAATACACCTCCCAAGTTCACTCATCGAAGACTCCAGTATGATCGCCAGGCACTTGCAGTCGGCGAGTTTACAGCGTAGACAGAGAAAAAAACGGACATCTACATGTTCTCATCTTCGGCATTTATCATCAAATTGTGACAATAGTTGAGAGGATTGTTCCTACTCGCTTTACAGCAGTGCTTTGGTTCAGATTTTATTTTTCGATGTGCCTACTTCTTCTTGAGCTTCTTCTTTTAATCAAAGTCTCTCTATCCATGGACTCGGTAGTCAAAGTTGGCAAACTGTCACTCCACATTAGCAGCAGATTTTATAAGAAGAAATCCGGACTGCGGGAGGTACTTGAAACCCTCACAGACATGGACTAGTTACGACCTCCTCCTCAAGTGACTTCTAAACTCTACCGCAGAGTCTGTCCAACTGACGGCGATGTGCTTTTCTGAGTCTCGGCTGCTAAGAGCTGCTTGGGAATGATATGCTGGAATGGTAGCCGACGTAATGTGTCCCGAAGCTAATCCTTTACTCACCGAGCTATTCAATACTTTCCCTTAAGTTGATCTCAGAGTCTGACCATTATAAGATTATAGTGGCAACGCACTTGGTGATCAGATTATTCAAACTAGATATGTGTTCATGATAAGTTACATTAATTAACTGAAAATATCATTCAAATTGCCCAAGCAATTTTTGAGTGATGTGAAGACTTTAAGATGATTGAACCTTTGTCTAGCGTTTTTTTATCCGCCTTTCTGGACGTGATTCAATACATGCAAGAGTTAAATGGAAAGGGTTCCAAATTGTATTTAATGGTAAATTAGATCTTCTCAAAATTAAGCCTTCAATCACATTGTCCTGATCCGTTCGGATATTTTCTACTGCAGCAGATTTTCAGGTGTACGGGATAAACTTTACGCTCAATGTAGAACATTTATTTTCTAACGTTTGGTTTGACGAATCCGCCGCTGAACAGTGATAAGACTGATGTGACTCGTGAATGTACATGGGGCTCGGTATACCTACATAGCGACATTCTGAACTACACTGAAGTCGTTACATTGCACAAAAACGAGGAGCATGATAACTGTCAGACAAGACTCGCATATATAGTTCACACCTCTGGCTTTGAAATATGTCTCTTAAGGAGCTTCGCAATTTCTTCAACACAATAGTCTTCATCACATTCCATAGACCTTTCGAATCATTGAGCTCTGCCAAACGTCTGAGCTGAATGGCATCACTTCAAACGTTTCATCTCTCACGTGAATCTTCTTCCGTCTGTTTATGCCTCAGACATGACGAGCCTCAATCTTGAAGTTGCGGAGAACAGAATCTGAAGTAATACAAACTGCTGTGTAAAAAAAAATTCCTTTGCCTGTACATTATATGTTCAACCTCAGGCCAGAAATACTGGCAGAGCAGAGCAGCTCTAACTTAGACGACAGAGAGCCCTTGGCTCACAGCTCCATACTCACAGAAAAGATGATCAGAGCCAACACAGAAGAAAATTCAACGTACAAAGCGGGTTCGCAGTGTGCTGCAATTTGCTGGGGATAAAGGTTCACGTGAGGATCCGGATCATCTGCCAAGACCTCACTAGTAAGAGTTCCAGCATTTGTAGAAAAACTTATCAGCGCCAAAACAACAGTGTTCTTAGAACCCTCCATCCCTTTGAAAGATTCCGGATGCTCAATGCTATCAACAACAATAGATCTGGACTGAAGATGCTATCAACTTGCTTCCATGTTGACAGAGACATTGTGGTCTGGATGACTATTCACAGTCAAGTTCAGCTGCAAGCCACTTACAAAAACAATCCTATGAGAGTTTTCAAAAGAAAATTGTTTTCTATCTTTTTCATTTTCCTCACAGCCAAACTACGGAGGACTTCGGAGACTATTTTAGCATATTTCAAAGTCGTACACTCCAACATTCAGCAAATTACGTGAACTACCCAGTGACCAGTGATATCTGTAGGCGCGACAGGAGCTCGCCCGACATTCTGAATCGCCGTTTCCGTTCCCAACTCGGGAATGAATCACCTGTAACCCGATATGTTTTGTCATTTCAAAACTTTATATCTCATAGTATTGCTGAAAGTCTCATTCGGTCCATGTACACCAGCCTCATCCTGATCGAGGCAAATAAAGCATCTGTGAACCATCTCACAGACCGTCCTGGTGCCGAGAAGGCCTGAAAGTAACGAAGGGAGAATCGAATCACAACGCAATTACATAGTCATGGGCCTTTCAACATTGAACTCGGTGTCCACATTACCCGTAACTTCTGTCCAGACATGAGGGAATTCCACACACTTCCTAAAGAAGTTGTGATGAAACTGGGCCATTTCCATAGAAGCCATCTTCACGTCAGTAGTGAAGTTTTTCTTTGACTATGACGTAACACAAGATATTTTGTGAGGTAAAATAATCGGAAAATAACTGCGTTTTGAATGTACGAAGACAAATTCAAGGTCATCATAAAATAATATCACTTGAAATACTATATGTTTATAAAATGATAATTTCTTCGTATAGGATTCTTCGTCCCTGAAGTTTTGTAAGTAGTCTAGTAGAAAGAACATCTGAAATCTCATGTTAGACTACTGTCACAATTGTTTATCGGACTGGCACAAAAAGTTAAAAGGGCGTTTTGAGCAACTTATCTCCGGTACATGGACAATCCTGTCCTCTTATGATTTATTGATAATTTTCCTTGAAATCTTTCTCACAATATTTTGGTCAGAGCTCAGACGCTTGACAATTCAGAGCAAGCTCACAACTTCGCACGAAGCCAGTGCAATACCTGTGGATATCCAAGACGTCCAGTGTAGAAACATAATAAAGTTTTAACTATGTAAATCGTTTTCTCGGAAGTTATTTTTATTTCTTGTCTTTACACTAAGATACGGCGGAAGTGTGAAATAACTTCTCATTTGCCAATCCCTACCAGAGTTATTACTGAAAATGAACATCTAATTGCTTTGCTGAAATGAATAACCCAACTAAATCTTCATCCATGAGGTAAAACATATATTATGGTGTTCACTTTGTAATGCCTATCAGAAAATATCTAATTTGGATCATCATACGTGGTACACATGCATATTTCACATGCATCTATGCTCTTGGATAGATGGCTCGCGGAACAACATTAAGTTTTTTGAAGTAAATATATTCTGCATGTAGGTCACTTTTTTGTTACTCTTGCTTTAGAGGTTCCATTAGCTATCAAAAATTTCACGAGAGAGAGCACAAACAACAAACAAATCCGTGGTATGAGACATAAACTGTAATTGTATTTACCATATTATATTTTCAATGTAGACATCGTGTATTATTGCTCTACAGAGTAACTACTTTTCTTCTACTTCCTTCGTTTGTAGATAGTGTGAAGTAGTTAGTTCGGCTATATTAGAGGCAATATGACTTTTTTTTCTCATCCTTATGTTAACAGAGCCTAGTAATGTCAACTGTTTGACTTCATCCTTATAATAGTTGAAGTGATCTCCTCACACTTTTTCCTATATATCCTTGTTCCGTATCTTATAAGCATTCATAAGTAGTTCTTGACATGTTTTCAGAGGGATGTTGAAGCGAAACTTAGAAAAGCACTCTTGATTTTTCCTTCTGCGAAAAAAGTACTGAAATCGTGCACTCTACCAAAGAAAATTGCAATGTTTCACATCTGATTTTACTCTCAAATCTGTCTACACCTTACAAGATTCGAAACATTGCAAACCCATTTTGATAATAAAGAATGACCTTACAGTTCGCGATCAGTCTACCCAATTACTTGCACTCATTTGTTCTTACGTGCGAAAAATACTATAATTAAAGAATAAGCTCAGCACTGAAACAAGCATGACACGTCACAAATAATACCTTGTTGCAAAAGCACCAAATCAATGGATGTACCAAGTCGATGCAATGCCAAAGACAAAACTGCACTTCATCGACTTCGGTGGCAACTTACACATCTACTAGAATGTAACCTTCAGCGGGAGTAACGAAATTCGACCTTTGAAAATGTGATGTAGTTTCCTCGAAGTTCCAACGAACGATCAATCGATCGTTGTCTCATTACAGTGGAAGAGTGTATACGAATTCTAGAGAGGGGAGAATATTCTTACGTCACTCACCTTTATATGCTCAGGCTGACAAGGATTACTGAAGCTCGCTGTCTTGTCTAGCACATCTCTCTCCTTTGCGGTCTTCGATATCCTAATCCTTCTCCAACTTGGACTGACAGTCATCATCGTCCGAACGCCCATGTGATACAACAGTTCGTGATGGCTCTCTTTCATGCTTTCTGCTGCATAGATACCACCTGTCACGAAAGCAACGGAAGGCTCTCTTCGGTTCTGTCAATCCGCTTGTCAGTTATCAGGTGCGAAGGGGTTCTTCATGTCCCGTGAGAGATGTAAACTTCCAGAGCCTGTACATATGTCGGCTACCGTGGATATCCAGGTAAGCCGAGAAACGTCACGGTCTCATCAACCCGGATAGCTTTGACTTGCTCATCCACGTCAAAAGCTTCGTGGACCTGGAATGTCTTCTAGACAACACTCGGCGCTTTTCAGTCTCCGACTACGTCGCCGTAACAAATTCAACAGGTCAGGAGGTAACTGGTGTCGTGTCAATGGTGCAGGGGCGTGTCGCGACCATTACACAAGATCGTTTTCCCCTTAGTTGACATACCAATGTTCTAGATGCCTCCATCTTTATGAGAATGAATTACATCACTGATGTTATGATCACTTTCAGCTAGCGTGGGAAAGTAGTTGGATTCACAATGTGTCACTCCTATTTTGTGCTCGTCTTGGGCAAGTGTACTCCTTTCGAGTCTTTAGTTGGGCAAGAAATCGCTCGATTTCTCAGAGTCTCCTCAGGACCAAAACTGCAGTGCACCGCTCTCTGAACTGGAGGCTCTGCAGAGCGTACATGGAGTGTCTGGTTGAGGACATTCCGTTACAACGTTTAGGCGTCCCCCCGGTTGCTCTGTAGGTGAACGTTGCTTCAAGTGCGAAACGTCAAGCCTTCCAAAGGCATACTCCCGCATCTGTTCTGACACCAAGGAAAGGTGCTTCGGGTGGGGCACAATTGTCTTATCTCAGTAAGCGTGTGTGCAGGCTTTTACGTCACTACTTTCATAGATATATACAGATAATGATTTCTATATACAGTTTAGTTTACAATTTAAGAAAAGATATTATGATTTGAAAAAAATGAAAAACTAATATCATTCAAAATAAAGCTAATTCTACTAAATATATTTTCAATGTTGTATACTACTCGAAAATTCTTAAAGAGAGACAAAAAAAAACACCTTGGATTAAAGACCCCGTATCAAAACCACATTAAATAAGAAAAACTTGAGATTTAGAGAATGGAACAAGAGCAAGGGAATCATCCAGAAGGTAGAAACCAAACTGAAGGGCGGCCTTCTAGAGGTTCTAAGGTTCACTCGAATATGCACTTAAAAGAAGACGTTGGTGTGGACCCAAACTTCGAGCACTGAGAGAAGAACATAACCCAAGGTCAGTCTAGGTGACTCGCGAGCACGCGAATAGGTGTGAGCTCTCAACCACTAGATGTCGCACGGTGAGAGTGTAGTATAAAAGTGGTTCGAAACTTACTTTGTTGCTGATAGCATGTGTTGCATACTGCAGGGCTATCGAGTACAGGCTGGTTGGTCTCTTTCTCAAAAAACTAAATAAATCAAATGTTTATGCTAGTGTTAGTAAATCTAACGCTCGTGGTAATTGTTACAAGGTTCTCCACACTCCCTACCATTGTTCTCTAATTGTATTTTAAAATGGAGTCACACGTTCAACAGCAGATTCACATATATTTTGCATGATGAAACTTCTGGATTTGCCTCTTGACTTGCCCCCTAAATGATCTGTGTAAGAGCTTCTGGTCACATTAAAAACAGCTATGAAGCTCGCATCGACAGTTAGCTTATATTTTCATTTTTGTGAAATTGGCTTGTTTCCAAAAAAAACATTTAGGCAGTCATAGACAAAGGTATAGATAAGATAAAAATGCTTCGTTGACATACGTAACTTCCAAAATGAAGCTGCAATAAGTTTCAATATTTTTAAGTGAAAAGGAATAAATGTAGCGGTACAAAATCTCTATCATAACTCAAATTATAAATTGAAATAAGCAAAATAGTTTGTTATATGTTTGATTTATTATTAATTTTAAAATCACCAAAGAACTAAAGTATTTCAAATCGGTAGATTCAACATTCTTGTTGTTTGGGAAATAATATAAGTGAAAATTGAACGTAACTTGGCAAACATCCATTTTCTAAATTATCATTTTTCATTACATACTTCTATAAACTTAATTTTAAATTATATCATGATTTTACTTTAATTGAATAAAAAATAAAATCATCAAACGAATTATTAATAATATTTGGTTGACATTATAGTTTGATTGCATATTATTCATTATATTTATTTATTTATTTATTTATTTATTTATTTAAACTACTAATGCAGTCATTCATAATTCATTTTTCTTTCTGCCATTTATGATAATATCAACATCATAAAGATATTTTTCACTATATTTATAAGTTAGTTATCGGTAACAACAATCAAATCATTCTTAGTTTTTGCAATGTGAAAGTATGTGAAGAAACTTGTGAATGTATGTATGTCACTCAATAATTTTAAATAATTAATCATATAATAAATAAATAAATATTATCATACCAATTATGATATTATCAATATCATGAAGATATATTGTATTAGATTTCTAAGTTATTTATCAGAAATATCAATATAATTATAATTTTGGCAACGTGAAAATATGTTATGGAAGTTTTATATATGTATACATTACAAGATTTCAATTTGAGCTTCATTTTTAGTTATTTTTCAATCAAATATTAAGTCAAAGAATTAATACCATGTATTTTTTTGTTGTAAAAAATAATTAAAATAATTTATTATATAACTGTGAAATATTATTATATCTCGAACAAATTCATCAAAATAATTTAAAAATTGAACTAGTTTTATCTTAATCAATCAAGATATAATGGTAATTAATAATATGTGGTGCTATTACTCAATCATATAATATTAAAAAAACTTGTAGATGAGTCATTATAATCTATCATGCAAAAATTTTTTGAATCTCTTTACACTGAAATTTTATTGTATTTTTTCTTATTTTTTATTTTTGATAAAATATATTCACAAGATAAATAAAATTTAAAATATATTACATAATCAGTGATATTTTTTCAAAAAAATACGTGAAAAATTTTGAAATTTATTATTCTTTGTAAGGTTAATTTTAATTTATCTTAATCTAAATAAATGATCAAATTAATTTTAATTTTAAAAAATCTATTAAAAAAATAATTTGGATTTTTCGACAAATTGTTTACTGATGATGATTCCAGTATTATAAATAGACTGATTAGGTGTGATATATGATTAAAATTAATATTTTTCTATATGAAAATCGTAAATCAAAATGTAACAAAACTACATTTTTTTATTAGGTTATTAAACTGGCTTTGGAAAAATTTAATGAAAGTCTTTCAACATATATGACATAAAGAATCATTGATACAAAATGGGTTAAATTTTTATTTTGTTTGAATAATAGCTAGCTAAAACAATGTAATTTATTTATTTATAAATTTTTTTCTGTAGTCATGAAGAAAAGATAGGAATTGATGTTTTTATCTTAGATTTGTCTAAGATAATCAGACTTGTATATATTGATCTAGTCAAAAAAATGTTTGACTGTGAGTATGTATGGACTATAATAAGAATGTGTGACGTTTTAAATGATATACGTGATGATAATCTATATACACTTTTAAAAGTATAATGGAAAAGTGATACAAGTGCTTTTGGTCTGATGAAAAAATAAATTATCTTGTCACATTCTTCCAGAAATAATAAGACATCACATTGCTTGTGACACAAGTGTGATATTATCAGTATCTCCGACCTATCTATATGAGCCGATGAATGAATTTCCCGATTCAACATTTTGTCGGCAACGCTGATATTACAATGTTTAACAACAATGTGTAAATCACCGACAAACTCTTAACTCAATACATGTGTAAAATTTCTTAATAGTCTTAAATTCGTATATCGAACCTTTTTGAGATATTTCTTACCCTATTACTATACGAAAATATCAAATGATGTATGCTTTATTTACTTCAAGAATGACATTGTTATATACTTTATTATAAACCTTGTGAGGATTTATATTTGTATTTCATTAACTTGAAATTCAATCACTTTTGTTAATTTACAAGATCTAACGTTAGGCGCAACGAAAATAGACATAAGAGAACACTCTCTCACGATTGCCTCATGTGGAGGAAGTAAGATGGCTGGAAGCCATATATGACAATATTGGAATGAAGAAACCGAATGAATGTTTATAAGTACAATCTTCTTGGGAGAATTCCAATTATAAACCTGACCGCTTTCAAATGATTTGCTGGACAAGTTTATTCGTGATCTAGTTCTGTTACATGTATTATCAGTACTCAATGCAATGCTCTTGACCTTTTTGTTGTTTTTGAGTAGTATTATCAAAAATAACCTACAAAAGAATAGTTTTGAGTTATTGGTGTGGTCATATTTCTCTTAATATACCTTAGTACTATAGAGGGCTTTGCTTAAAGGAAATAAAGAAACTGTTTTAGATTAATGAGAAACATTTGGAGTAGCGAAACGTCAAGGTTTGGCCCCTCCAATATTGATTCTTTATTTATATTTTGATTAACTGAAGTTAGGAAGCCAGTTAACAACATCTGGATAGAATGCATGCATTGACAACTAATTCAAGCAGCAGCAAATTTGTAAGAATTCTAAGGTTTCTGCGCTCGTTTATGATTGCAACAGGAAAAATAATATGCAACAGGAAAAATCTTTTAAAGCGGGGTACTGCGAGGCAGTTGGTAGGTGATAGTGACCTATTCCACGATAACAGCTGCGTAAATGACGCAAGTGCATGACTGTCACAACCCTATTGAACGTGAATGGGACCCACTGGATAATTCCCGTTTCTTATTGGCCAAGGGAATTTATTCCTTTCGAGACGAGTCAGTCTTCACCTCATCGTTGGAGGAAGATGTGACACCTGGAACGGAAACTATCTTGAAGGGCCTTCTATCGGGCACCGATCTAAGTTTACAATTATATGCAGTTATTTACAAAAATTGCGATAACGACAAGACCGATGGCCGTAGTCTTGTTCGCTCGGTCATACGGTACGCCCCGAGTTTCATGTTAACAGAAGGATAATGTACCACATCGACGAGATTTGGGATTTGAATTTAAAAATAAAATAAAATCCAGACGACTTTGCACCGCTGTTAAGGATATCCGACGGTCCAACTCGGAACGAGAATATCGAAAGTGCCCGAAAATAGATCGGGGTGGAAGATTAATTCGGTGTCCACCGCGTAGGTGGACAAGAACAGACGCGGTAAAAGGCCGAAATTGACGAAGTTAGGGGCCGAGGTGGAATGGGCCCGAAGTTACCCGGAGACCTGGTGAGCAGCATCCGGTTGCTAATGACCATCGACTGCGGATGCTATCGATGCGATCGTCCGGGTCTTGGTAAGAGCGTAGTGCTCGGGCAAACCGGGCGGTCCGTCCGACCAACCTCGATGGACCGCGCTTACTCACGCCCTCACGTGGTTCGAGCCATGGTCGTGAAGGTGCCGAGTAAGCAGCCCTCGATTGGCGAGATCGAGCGTTCCGACGGGTCAAAGCAACGCGGAAGAGACACGTGCGTGAGGCGCGCGGGGATTCTGAGAATCCCTCCTAATCTCCTACCGGTGGAAGTCGCTGGACGTCGTGGTCATGGTCGTCGTCGAAACAGCAGCGGGAGTGTGCGGACGAAGGAAGGGACGACGACAAGGACGGGACGGGGCCGGACGGGAGGGGAGGTCAGAGGATGGAAGGAGGGAGGGAGGGAGGGAGGGAGGGAACAAAGTAGGCGAGAATGTGGCGACGAGAGTCGAAGGAGGCCTTAGCAGGAGGGAAAAGCGCTGCTGATCTTCATCGTCTGTTCTGCAGAGGGACGGGGGAGAGAGGAAAGAGAGGGTTTCATTATTCTCCGTTCGCTGCCATTTCGATTCCCGGGGTCGATCGATTGAGACGCTTTGACCCGACAGATAGATCGAAAGATCGCGAGGTGGAGTTGGTGGTGGAAGAAAGCAGAGCGAGCGAGCGAGAGAGAGCTCCGCGTCGTCGTCTTCGCGGGGATCAATCCGTGTGGTGTCCTATTGCAAGCACTTTTATCGCTGAAGACTTCGAGGCATAGGTTTCGCAGGAAGGACGCCGGACACTACCAAAAAAAACGCTTTGGAGAGCGGGTGTGTAGTTTGGGAGGACAGGCAGGCAGGCAGGCAGGCAGGAAGCGCGCTCGGAAGCGAACGGCAGGTGGTGGAGTGGCGAGGGTTTGAGGGCATGATGGCAGGGCCCGCGTGATGGTAGCGGAGGACGGCTTGTATGCGAGGCGTGGAAGGGAATTAGAAGGTTCCGGTACAGATTGCTGGGTAGCCACGCGAGCGAGAAGTTGAGCGGACTTGGAGAATCGATCTGTGTTGAACATTGAACGACGGAACGGCAGGCGACAATAGTCCCCTGATTGTTTGTTAGGAGTACGAAATCCTGGTGCGGAGTCCAGTTCTTTGACGAGGAAAGGGGCATGGTGGTGAGGCCTAGCTTATTGCGAGAATTGGAAACATAGCAGGGCCGGAGGGGCTTCGATCCATGGAGATAGATGTGGTCGGGGAGCCGGGTATCCGGACTTCCCAGCCTGCCATTCCTAAACCCAGTTCTCAAGGGGAAGAACTTTTGGAAAAAGAGGCGGAGTTGGATAGGAGCAGACTAGCGGCGAGCAAAAACGCAGCAGAGGACGAAGAGGATGTGTGTAGGATCTGCCGGACTCCAGGAGATGACGAGTCTCCTCTGTATTACCCCTGTGCTTGCAGCGGCAGCATCAAGTATGTTCACCAGGACTGCTTGTTGCAATGGCTCAATCATAGCAACGCTCGGCAGTGCGAGGTACGTCCTTTCGCAGTGCTCGTGACGCTGTCTTCCACTTCCGAGTCTGTTTTGAAAGAAATATACCCGGTGTGAAGGATACTTTCGGCTCGTCTCGGTGGTCTTACTTGTGTTCTCTCATCCCATTGGTAGTGTCTAACGAGCCTCCCCGAGCAGACTTTGAGCCTGACCGTCTTAATGAGCATGATGTAGAGATTAAGACTCTGAGGTTTCTTCTGCTGACTTGGTCTTGCTGTGAGCCTTGATGAAGATCTCCATCGGTTTCTGTGAACATTTTATTATCTTCAATTAATTTGGGCGTTTCCACCATCGAACAAGGTCAGTCTGTTTGTAGAAAAAGCTTGGTAGTGCATGACCTGCCGAGAGCAGAGTTTGGGAAACTTGTCAAATCTGTGAGATGTCATTTACTCCCGGAACTGCTCAGGTATATTTGGGTGTATTGCCCCATCTAAGCTTGTTAGTCTCCTCTTTAAAACACAAGAATCTGGAACGTGTCTCTTACATCACCTGATGCATTTGATTGGTTATCTAGGGCAATTTCATGGGGTGCCATAGCTAGTCCTCGGTGTTTGGATCCATGAGGAGATTCTCCTCCGCAATTGGGTCACTGCTGCTTGTGCTTGAGAAAGGAGGAAGGCTTTACGTTTATGTGTCGTTCGCCGTGTCTGTAATTGTATTTTAGGGTTTCACATCGGTCCACTTAACGTTTCAAAGATGGATTGGTGGAAAAGGTATTTGGAAGTAAAATCTATTGTTTTTGGCCATTATAATCTGGAAGGGTGAACAAGTTGTACTCTGGTGAACCCTCAGTAACACCTTGTGACTTTGTAAACTATGGCAGGTCTGCAAGCACGCGTTCTCTTTCTCCCCAGTTTATGCAGAAAATGCTCCCAGTAGGCTGCCGTTTCAAGAGCTCCTTCTCGGGCTTGTTATGAAGGCAGCTCGCGGTGTTCGCTTTTTTTGTCGTCTCACATTTGTCCTGTCCGTATGGCTGCTCTTCATCCCTTTTACTACCTTCTGGATTTGGCGGTTCACTTTCGTGAGGAGTTTCAACGAGGCTCACAAGCTTTTTATCAGCCGATTCACACCTGGGCTTCTCCTCACGGACTGCCTGCACGGATTCCTATTATCAGCTGGAATTGTGTTCATATTTTTGGGTGCCACTTCTTTGAGGGAGTACTTCAGGCATCTACGAGAGCTTGATCCACCGGTAGATCGAGGTGATGAAGGTGTAGATAGGCAAAGGCCAGGGAGGCAGGCAGGTCGCGATGCCCATGGCGTAGTCGGTAGAGGAGCACCTGCAGTAGACGTTCATGAACCCCTTCTTCAACCCGGTGCCGGTGCCGTTGTCAACGCAGATGGACCTGGTGGTCAGGGCATAGCCGCAGGGGCAGGACAACTTATTAGAAGAAACGCAGAAAATGTTGCAGCCCGGTTGGAGATGCAGGCAGCTCGTTTGGAAGCTCATGTTGAGCAGATGTTTGATGCAGTGGAAGATGCAGATGGCGCCGAAGATGTTCCATTTGACGAGCTCGTCGGAATGCAGGGCCCTGTTTTCCATCTAATTGAGAATGCTATAACGGTCAGTTTTCTTATACCCAGAGCGTTTGTAGGCTTGATCGAGGTCATAATCTTGATAGTTCCATGTCGTGAGTTGTGTTTTTAGCTCGAAATAATTTTTGTACTTGAAGGGCATTCTAGACGAAATTGGGAAGACTTGCGTTGCAGAGCAATGCCGAATTTTCTTGTTTATTCCCCTGATAAGAAGATTGCTAGGTAGGGGACCCCCAACATTTTGGTTCAAATCACCTTTCAGAGCTCAATAGCCAGTCTCACATTTTTGTACTTTGTGACATGACTGCAGGTGTTGGCTAGTAATGCCATCTTCCTGGCCCTTGTGGCACTTTTGCCGTTTACAATTGGGAGGGTGGTGTTATCTCTATTTTCCCGCGTGGTAGTTGCCACGTACAGTCCCAATGGAATGATAGCATCGAACATCACATCTATTATGAGTACTGGAAAAGTACCTTTGGCGAATATGTCATCAATTCTTGCAGCCAAGTCCATGCTCTTTGATATCATGAGTTCCAATACCACCATCGAAAATGTCGTCAGTGGTGGTGCTGCTTTCGGTGGAGTAACTTCTGCTTTGAGTACGAAGGGCATGAGCAACAAGGTTACAGAGGCGATGGTCGCAGCGCTGCGTCTTTCAGATGCTGCAACAGTAGCTGTCGGTTATGGCTTCATTCTCGTAGTCTTAAGTGTGTATCTTGGCCTGATAGCCCTGATTAGATATAGCAGAGGGGAGCCCATTACAGTTGGGCGTATCCACGGAGTCGCTACGATGGCGGAAGCCGCACCTTCAGTAGCCAGGCAGGTTATGGCCGGAGTAAAGTACATGGCAACGATGGTGAAGGTTGCTTTCCTCTTGATTATTGAACTGGGAGTGTTCCCGCTTATGTGTGGGTGGTGGCTTGATATTTGCACCCTTGGTATGCTGGACGTCTCAATAGCCCAGCGCGTCGAGTTTTTCTGGTCCTCACCACTAACGAGTTCACTTCTCCACTGGCTCGTCGGGATCGTCTACATGTTACAAATAAGCGTCTTCGTGAGCCTTCTTCGCGAGGTACATAATATGAAGCTCTAGGTTCCCATCCTACTCGATTTTTCTTTTCTGCGTCCGTGGATAAGTCAACTATCTTGACTAGATATCGGACGAATTGTTCTGTGCTCATATCATAATGGTCATTTTAGACTTTGTGTAATCGGAAGTTGAGGACCTGGTTTCGGATGAACAGCCTGATAGGGGAATTGGTACGAATAGTTGAAAGTATCGGTTGTTTCAGTAACTGGTCGTACTCCAGTTTGTAGTAATCGTCAACCTTCGATGTGGGCAGCGATATTATTTTACAAATGAGATGAGGTGGTTAGGTGAGGTGTGAACTTTTTAGGTGGATCGTGTGTGCAGTTATGGTATCTCCTTGAGTTATCATTCTTGTCGGACAGATAATCGGTCTGATACATATAGGTAATTGGTAGTCTCTTTAATTTCGGTAGCCTCTCTTGTGGCAGTCGCCTTTCCTTCTTTTAGTTTCTGACTTGCTTCAACTGCCGATTTTCAGGTCCTTCGTCCTGGTGTACTGTACTTCCTCCGCGATCCGACGGATCCAAATTACAATCCTTTCCGTGATCTCATTGATGATCCTCTTCACAAACACGCACGACGAGTGCTTCTCTCCGTCGTGGTTTACGGCAGTTTGATTGTGATGTTGGTGTTTTTGCCAGTTCGTCTTGCCATCCTTGCATCGCCTACAATGTTTCCTCTTGATATAAGGTATACTCGAAGTTCTCTTAGACTGGGCTTACGTTGCTCATTACAAAACCAACTCAATGAAACCAATCTTCGGACGATGAGAGCAAGTATCCTAGGTGTCGTACATCCTATCTCTTATTGAGATGTAGAAGTTTGTATGCTTAGAGCAGCTTCAGCCTTGCAACAAGTAATCAATCCGAAGAGGCTTTCCTAACTTATCAAAGCGCTCATTTCGCAGAGTCTCAGACCCCTTCACTGAGATCCCCGCAGATATGCTCTTATTTCATATCTGCATTCCGTTCGCTGTCGAGCATTTTCGACCACGTGCCACAATCAAGGCTGCTCTTTATCATTGGTTTTCAGCTGTGGGTTGGGCGTTGGGGCTGTGTGAGTATCTTCTTCCGGGTCCAGAAGAGACAAACGTGAACAACAATGGACAGGAACAAGCCAGGGTACAACAGGGCCAGCTTGATGCACCAGACCAGAACCAGGCGATTGCGCCTGCTGAACGTGGAGAGCAAGAAGAGCAGTTGGAGAACCCTGCGATAGGAGATGATTATGAGGTGGACGATGAAGCGAGTGCCGATGAGTAGGTTTTTAACTTCTATGGAATTGAAATCTTTCATCACAATTGAAGAAGTGACATGTTGCAACAATTGGAACAAATCTTGCCTCCATATCCTGGAATTGATATTTGGCTCAATACTAGAATCTCGATGTTTACCGACCGAGAGAAACGTAGGACACGTGCATATTATCCCTTGGTACTTCAGCAAGTATCTATGTGATGGATAATAGTAGTGTCTTTCGTCAGAAGGTTTCAAGCTGCTCGTTTTGGAAGTTCTAGTTGAACTTTGATCGCAATGCAAGCAGCTTGGGACTTCTTAGGACTGTTTCATTTACCTCAAGTTAGTTACTTTCATTGGTGATTATCTAATGTGCAGGTACAAATTCGTCTTGCGGATTGTTCTGCTCCTGTTTAGCGCGTGGATAACTCTCCTTGCATTCAACTCCGCCATGGTTTTACTTCCTGTTTCTCTTGGACGAGGAATATTTTCTCTATTTTCTCAGCTGCCAATAGCGCGTGGTGCTAAATGCAACGGTGAGTTCGCCACCATTTGGTTTGTTGGTAACGTCAGGCTCTGTGCGCGAACTAGATTGTGTAGATGTGCAATACCTGAACAGATTTCCCGATGACATCCAGAAATTTTGACATTCGTGAGATTATCTTGTTTGTTTCCGGTATTCTAACGAAACCACTTGTCTTACTTACAATTTTGCGCCTGTGGCTGCAGATCTTTACGCCTTCAACATTGGCTGCTATGTGTTGTGGGCGACAGCAGCTGCTGTTCGTTACGTGGTTGATTATCTGAGAACACACGACGTGCATGTTTTACTTATGCAAGTTCTCAAGTGGTCAGCAATCGTGGCGAAAAGTTTTGTGCTGCTGACTCTCTGGGTAGGCTATCTGGATTCTTTCCAAGTTTCTCTTCTGTCAGCTTTAGTTAGTGTCCTGCGGAAATTTCAAGTCAATGTTTGTTCTGTGTATGGCGTGGATCGTGTTTGACTTAGACGAGCAACGTTTTCATGTGGCTATTATTATAGCTCGCTTCAACGTTTGTACACTTGATAAATTAAAACTTTTGTCATCGCTGCTTTGCAGATCATTGCCATCCCCGTATTAATTGGACTACTATTTGAGCTCCTTGTCGTGGTACCCATGCGGGTCGCTATAGATGAGAGTCCAGTCTTTATCTACTATCAAGACTGGGCTCTAGGTCTAGTGTTTCTGAAGATCTGGACAAGACTGGTAACTATTCATCGAAATCTATGTTGTATAATGTTCCTTGGGATTTTTCTACTCTGCAAGAATGTATCGATCATAATACGCTTCACGCTTGAAGTCGTGAGAAGTTGTGATGCGTAAATAATTTTTTATTTGTAGTACGAGGACCTTGGTAATTGGACCTGAATTTCGTATCTTTGACTCGTGAAGAGACACTGACTGTTGCGGCTTGTTTCAGGTTATGCTTGGTCAGATCACACCGTTGGCAGATGAAAGCTGGCGTATCAAGTTTGAACAAGTCAGAGCTGACGGGTTTGCCAACCTTCGGGGATTTTGGGTGTTGAAGGAGATAATTTTTCCCATTCTTCTCAAGCTTATGACTGCACTGCTTGTGCCGTACGTCTTTGCTCATTGGATCTTCCCTTGCTTGGGATACTCTTTGATTGTCAATTCAGCAGTCAATCGGTATGCATGGCAAGGCTGCCTTGCACTTGGGCTGCTTTGGTATGGAATGAAGCGATTGCGGCAGTGGTTATTGGACCTTCACAACTCGATTCGTGATGATCGGTATCTAGTCGGAAGGAGGCTCCATAATTTTGGAGAGAGGAGAAGAAGTGGAACGCCAACCAGTCCTAAAGTAGAAGCTGCAGCCAGACCTGTAGCGAGGTTTCCAGGACCAGTTGTTGAGGATGTTGCTAGATTAGGAGGCCCCACAGATCAAGACTCTCCTAATACTGTGTTGAACTCTGCTTCTGCTGGAAGTAGTAGTGGTGTTGTGGAAGAGAAGAACAAATACATGCCAGGTGAGTCTAGAGATGTCTTAATACGGGCCGCCATACAAGAGGGCGAGAGATTAGGGATGGCAGGTGCATCTTTACGGTTCCGTCACTCCACAACAGGCACTTCTTCAACCAACTCTGACCAATGACCTGGTCACTTCGAAAGTCATCTCAAAGAGTATTGCAAATAGTTGCTTCTCTGTGACTGGCTTTCTGTAAATTTATCTCTAACTATGGCATTCGGGTGAAGCTCTTCAAAGAGTGATGTGGATCATTGATTTAAAGTGTCATGATGCCCTGAAGTCAACCTTTCTCCAAAATTTGGGTTGACAGCGGACAAGCCCAGTACTTTGTCCAATGTCTGTGAAATACCTCTCAGTAGGCGGCCTCAGGTGGAACACGAAAAGAGGAAGCTGAGGTAAGTACACCGTTAATTCATCCATTTTTCATGTACTAATACATATTCTTTAGAAATTTAACCAAACCGTCCTCACGAGTCACCCGTCCTGTCAGTACCAGTTCAACATCTTAATTGCTTCAGACTTCGGTACCTCCGTGCAGTTTTGTATGCACAACTGAGATGTCAAATTCTTGTATATTAAGTTGGAATTCTCATTTTGGGCAGAAGTTTCCGTGTAAGCTGTGGAGATCATGAGAGTGAGTTGCTCGGGGGTTTATTGAACTGTATTTTGAGCTGATCCTGTCTGGAAGATGCTTGAGATTACTGGGTCTCATGTACAGATTGTAGTTGTGAATTCGATGATTGCTGTGTTTGTAACGGAAATCGTTGAAGCTTTCTCGACAAATGCCTGTGTCTAAAATGCAAAGGAAAACTATTATTGGTGGTTTTTGGATCTTGATTATAGTTTCCTTGCTCGGTTTGTGCGTGCAAGCAGACATTTTACTGTATGCGATTTTGCACCTTCTTTTCGTCTGCAGACAAATCTAGTATCTAACTCGTTTCCGTCAATGGCAGACTCCTAAAAGAATCCTGTCATGCAAGCGAGAGAAAAGCATGGAGAATAGTTGACGATTGTGTTTTAGACTTAGATGAGAAAGAAGAATGGCTCTCAAGGTAGAGGATGTAGATAAACATAATCAGAAGTCCTAGGAACAAATTACTCGCATGTTTTCGGGTCCTCATGTTTCTTGGCCGAGAGATAAAAGTGTAAGTTACCGCGTTTGCTTTCATGTCGAGCGAGAGTGCGGGGATGTCGTTATCATCTTTTGTTCTAGTCCATGTGAGTTTTTAGCCATACTTGCTTCATGGTATGACGTTTCCAGTTGGAAAGGCAGGAAGATCTATTCCACACCGTCGATGAGCGACTGAGTTTGCTCAAACGGACTTTCTATTGCTCATACTTGCCCCGAGGCACCCGTCATACTCATGTGATGTTTCGAGAAGATTGGATGGCATCGTGATGTATGCATTTCCCATACGTAGGAAGATGCTTAGATTTTCCACCAACAACTTACACATGTACACAACTTACACAGGAATCGAAGAAACCTGTAGTTCACCACACTGCCAATCGTTATAAGAGGCACGTTTCGTCGAATGGTGCGGTGGAATATAGCATTTCTCCAATGTATCAATCCGCCTTATGTGCACACGAAACTGCTTTGTGCCACGGAGACCGATAGAGTCGATTGGAACGTCTAAGTGGAGTCCGAAACATGTAACCAATGAACGATGTTGCGAAGAATACTTGCTTGCATGTATTCTATAGTGATCACGAGTTCACGTGGACATGAATAAAGCTCTCAAAGAATTGTCCGATAAATCGACGGAACGAATAAAACTGCAAAGCAAAGAGCAACTCCCTGGGCACGGAATAATAAATGATAACCAGATTCACTTTTGTCAAGACAGAGTGTTTCATTGTGTCATCTTCCACAGTGTGTGCCAAAGGAGATACGAACTGGCCTTTGGGGTCTTTTTACTTGTTTGTGTTTTTCGCTTGGATCGTGTTTTTCAGCCTTTTGACCCTTTGGTCCCAGGGCCTGGTCTATTGCCATTGATAGGTGCCGGACAATCGACAGATCTCAATGTACGCAGACCCGGTGTGGGTTTTTAGGAGTGGGCATGGTTACAAAGCAGCAAATTTTCGGGAGGATTTGAGTTCCCTCTTTGTTATCAAAAGATATTCCTGAGTTCTCTACACTTACATTGAAAGCAGAGATGGGGTCGATCCGCATTTCACCGCACCCGGGGGAACATGATGGTTACTGACAGTGTAGTACTCTTATTATCTAGTGAATTATGTTAGCAAACAGTTATCAAGACGGGAAAGAAGAGACGAATATTTGTTTTCTTGATATATCACGGTGGCTCTGTGGAGCTGGTCTATGCATTAATTTAGTTCCAGTTGTGGATCGATGGGCAGTTGGGCTCCTAATCTCCTTCAATATCTCTAGCATAATATAGCAGTAGGTATACTGATGCTCGAGAGGTATGGAGAATTGGAGAAACTCTAAGAATAAGTATCTCAAAAGATCTATTCTTCGGTTGTCACTTGTTCTGACGATGAGTCTCAACCTACTTTCACGGCTGGAAAGAAGGTTGAACATGAACACGAGGAAATGGTTGGGGCAAATAAAGGATCTGAGTACAATATGAGGTACAAATTTTTTGCCGGTGTTTTTATTATTTTTTAAGTAGCTGTCATCGTTCATTATAGAAAATGTGATTCACCAACTTTTCGCTTATGTAGGAGACAGGAACTTTCAGTACAGAGAAAATTAATCTGACGTTGTTACGAAATGCGCCAAGTGACCTGTCACTTGGCGCTTAAAAGTGTCAGAATCTTAAAATAAGCCATTGGAGCCAACAACTCACTTGCGTTCCTCCTTTGGGGATGTTATGTGTATGGACTTCTTGGGTATCATATAGTTGGGTTCATGTCCTCGTCTTTGCCAGCGAGGCGTCAACATGTCAGAATCTGATGGCTTTGGTACTCCAGGATGAAAATATACAGACTAAAATAGAAATAGCGAAAAAAAGAACGTGGAGATTCAAAGAACATATTAGGAAGCTCTCTATGAGAAGCAAAGTTCTGCATTGAGCTTCAAAACTTGACCCATGAGTGAGTCAACTTTACCCACCCATGGCAACTTTTCCATACCCATGAGTCCATCATTGGTATTTGGTTGCACTTAATCCGAGTGCTCAGTCTAACTCATTCCCATTCACTACCCATCCATGCATCCTAACCCATTACCCATGGATACGGGTGGGTATTGGGTACACATTGCAAAACTCTGCTGAGAAGCATATAATATAGCTGGGACGGGACAAATAGCGACGTGACGGAGAGATGTAATGCCAAATGCGTGATTAGGCTCTTCATAACAATAGTCAGTAGTAATCCTATTTCTATGTACATGTGCACTCTTGAAAAAGAAGGTCAATCACCACGAACGATCATCACAATACTTAAATACTTGAATGTGTTTGCAATATACTGTATACACTCGCTTAAGTCCGCAATTTGATTTGCGAAGATTGGTGCGGAATTATTTAGATGCATAATATTAGAGTATTCCTCATGTAATAAAAGAGGATTTAAGACGTGAAGGAGGTTCTGGTTAATTCATTTTGTACAATGAACACACAGCGAACTTCTAACAGTAAGGGCGAAAGCCAGCGTTTGAATTATCGTCATCATATGGATACCATCAATAGATGCGTCAAAGTCGGCCACTTGCGTAACATTGCTTGACATTTAGGTGTTGATGAAAAAGTCATTCGTAAGATAAAGTCTAGCAAAGTTGAAATTCGTGAATGAGCACAGAGTGTGGATCAAGACAGTCAGAAAGTCAACATTTTGTGATTTCAATTCATGTTTCATGAATTGAGAAGAAGCTTCTTGAATAATTTGACGTAGTACGCTAAGCTTCACTTGTTTTTGTTTCCTAGTATTATTTGCTAGAAAGAAAAATAGAGTGTGATTGCAATGGAGATTGCTGATGATAAATTCAATGCATCGTGGGATTGAATTTTGAGATTGACATTGACGGTTTAAAGGACCTAAATATGTTTGCCGAAGATGACGAGGTCAAAAAATATAATCCAAATTTTACTTGATTGGCCAATATGATAATGAATGCGTTTCAACATGGACAAAACTAGGTTGTTCTTTAGTGTCATACCATTATATAATGTGATGATGTCTCATGAAGATCTTTTTATTGTCCCAGGCAAAAAAGAGGCAAAAAACATGATGATATCGGTGGTGCTTTGCAACAACAGTGAAACAAAATGAATCCCGATCACAATGATTGAAAAGTCAAAGATGCTCGTCTGCATTGCCGGAAACACTTGATACATTACTTATTTTCATCAGAAAAACGCTTGGATCAATGTTGTGACATTCAATAAGTGGTTTAACGATATCTTTGAGCCTAATGCTTGTCGACGGATATGACACAAAGTGTTGTTGCTCCTTAACAATGCTCGTGGTCATTCTAATGCTTTTGAATGCAATGACATTTGTATTGAAGTCTTTTCGTTTAATGTCACCTCTTGGAAGTAATTCATAGATATGAGTATCATCGCAGCAGTAAAAAAACAATAAACGTATCTTCTACTAAATGATATTGCTGCATTTTATGATAATCAAGAAATATTTAAAGACCAATTTGCATTAGAAGCTTTGAAATTCAAACTGTGCACAGCTAGAATTGTTTACGTAAAACCTACACATTTGCTTGATGTTGCAAACTTTGCAAATGCTACTCGGAATGATATTTCTACTAGTAGCCTAAACAATTTGCAAAAAAAAAGCAAATTTTATTCCTGGATTTGATAGGATTGATAATATCGGTTGATGATGATGATGCCATTATCGTTGACATTCCTGAATTGTTAAGTAGCTGTGACCTTCTCAATGAATCAAGTGAAACCGATGTTAGAAGCTATATTGTAAAATGTTTGAATGATGACAACGAGGATATGCAAATGTGTTAGTAAAATTTGCTTGAAAAAATCGAAAACGTTATGAATGTTGTTGTTTTGCATCCAATTGTCGAATTTGAGGAGGATGAATCTGGCCACAACAATGACAATGATCCATATGAGGGTATGTATGAGCATGATGTGATTTCTCACAGAATGGTGAATGTTATCAAGCTTGAGGTTGAGATAGACAAGTTAAGATATTCTCTTATCTGTCATCGGAGCAAATTAATCTTGCTAAATGGTCTCTCTTTACCCTATGTCGCATTCTACAGCACGGTCGGTTCGTCATCGCTTGTGAACGAGCTAAAAACAGCCGCCACTTGATCATGTTTGAATTCTGCTAATATTAAACCTTGATACTTGAAACGCGGACTTAGGCGGGATGAGAACTTATATAGATGTGAACTTAAACTAATGTATATTGTACAATCAATATCTCATGTACTAGGTTTATTTTGATGCATCCATAAGTCCAATATTCTTCATTGTTCATGCTTCTCAAGTTATGAATACACCAACATTGAAATAAGCCATGTGACAAAATAGACAACAAAAAAGTATGCGAAGATTACAACAAAATATGAAGAAAATGAAAGTAACAAAGTTCTATTCAGAATACTATCAAAATAAATATTATGTTTGCTATACTAATTACTTAGATCAAATGGTTATCCGGATGTTTTTAATATGTTTGCTATACTAATAACTTTGATCAAATGGTTACCCGGATGCTCTAATTATTTGGAGACATCCGATGTTATATTTATCATAATATATATTTTCTCTCTAGAATTATAGAAACACAGCAATTAAAAAATGAGAGATGATCTACAAACTAAATCATACTTTTAAATCCTAAATTTGATTGATATACCTTTTACTATCTCATATACAAATCAATCTTTGAACAGACCTGAAATTTCTTAATTTTCTATAATTTAAACCTTAGGGTTTCTTTTTATTTAAAATTTTAAGGGTTTCAAAACTTATGAATGATCAACACTCTAAATTCGTGTAATTTTATAATGATAACCATATTACTCATGAAAATGTTGTCTGGAACTACATATGCCATAACACTTCCTATTGCAAGGAATACCAACGAACTCATTTCTTTGAATTTTCTTTCAGGTTCTGTCCGTGCGCATTAGGGATAATACAGTTGATTATAGTTAGGCCCGGGATTATGGCGGCTGACGTGTCAGGGAAGCCCTCCTCATCTGCCTGTGCATTATTATGGTAGCGTTTGCCGTAGTCACATCCGCTTGGTACCAACTTTACAAGGATCCATGATCGTGGCAGCACTAGAAGGGCGTCCATGCAGTGCTGCCGTCACGTGTTTATGTACACATATTTAGAGCCGAGATCATTTTTGTTCAACAATAGTCGTAGGTTATAAATTTTTAACTTACATCGATAATATGGATTTTTCTAATCTATTTAGTTTAGATATGTCAAGTAAAATTTGATATAGTTTCTTGTGATGCACTATTGTTTTGTTTCATTGTATCCACTGAGAGCGTTCAATTTCTGGAATTATAATTTTTCTTTATAAGATAAACTTATTTGTCTTGTACTTTATTCAAACAATTAATTTGAGGTTCAAAAGTGATATTTATTTTTTCCAATCGTAAAATAGTTCAATTATAAAATAATAAACGCTCAATAATTCCAAAATAAAGTAATTCACTCTGAGCGATGCACAAATGCTTACGAGATAGAGCAACTACCAAGCGCGGCCCCGTTCACATTCATGTAGTCACCGCGAAGCTTTCAGCACAGATCTAGTTCCCTATCTCAGAGAGAATCAAATTTCTTTCTGCAGATGAGAGGGAACTATTACGCCAGATTTCTTCACACACCAGAAAATCCGAATCAGCTCGATTGCATGCTATTCACTTTCCCACACCTCCTGACCTTATGGTCCATCAGAGTTGATATATATGCTGGAGGTTTCCACTCTTCTACTGTGTATGCTGAAACGAATGTTCATTTTTGGAGAACGATCTAAATCACTGGGAGAATCGTGTTCAAATAGCATACAGCAACTCTTATCATCAAAAGCACGAAAATGTAGATCGATGTTCCATAAACTGTATCGTCGAGTCTGTATAATGCTCAGATCATGTTAATTTTGAACCTGAGCTCGATTTCTTCGAAATTGTTTCAACATTTTATCCAAAGTTGCTTTCACAGCAGACAACAGCAAGGAGAACATGCACATTCACAACTCCTGTGATCCATACAAGGCATTCATCTCATGTGATTTTAAACTTCAGCTGAAATTCTACAAGCTGAACTAACTCAGTAATGGTTTCAGAGAGTTATTTGAACAATGAACACTTCAGGATTTGTTCAAAAAGTTTTTCGCAAGTATACATAAAATGGCCTGTTTCAAGCAACTGAAGGCGACTTCGACAGCAAGGAACTAGGATTTAGCAGCTCACATTGATCTCTTCGATCCTTCAATCTTCCGATCCACTGTGGGCATGACATATAATTGCGACGGAAGTCTATAGAGAATACTACGAGTAGCAATGCCCAAGCCGTTTGTAGACTGCAGCTTGTCGACAAGATTAACGTCTGTAGTAGGGAGGAGGTGGTGTTTTGTACTGGTACACTGGAGGTGGAGGTGATGTGTACTGGTACACTGGAGGAGGAGGTGACTTGTACTGGTACACTGGAGGTGGAGGTGATGTGTACTGGTACACTGGAGGAGGAGGTGACTTGTACTGGTACACTGGAGGAGGAGGAGATTTGTATTCGTAGACTGGAGGAGGAGGTGACTTATACTCGTAGACTGGAGGAGGTGGAGATTTGTATTCGTACACTGGAGGAGGAGGAGACTTATACTCGTAGACTGGAGGAGGTGGAGATTTGTACTCGTACACTGGTGGAGGAGGTGACTTGTACTCGTAGACAGGAGGAGGAGGAGACTTGTACTCATAAACAGGAGGAGGTGGAGACTTGTACTCATACACGGGAGGAGGTGGAGATTTGTACTCGTAGACTGGTGGAGGTGGAGATTTGTACTCGTAGACTGGTGGAGGTGGAGATTTGTACTCGTAGACTGGAGGAGGTGGAGATTTGTATTCGTACACTGGTGGAGGTGGAGACTTGTACTGGTACACTGGAGGAGGTGGTGATTTGTACTCATAAACAGGAGGAGGTGGAGACTTGTACTGGTACACTGGAGGAGGTGGAGACTTGTACTGGTACACTGGAGGAGGTGGAGACTTATACTCGTAGACTGGAGGGGGTGGAGATTTGTATTCGTACACTGGAGGAGGTGGAGACTTGTACTGGTACACTGGAGGAGGTGGAGATTTGTACTCATAAACAGGAGGAGGTGGAGACTTGTACTCGTACACTGGAGGAGGTGGAGATTTGTACTGATACACTGGAGGAGGTGGTGATTTGTACTCATAAACAGGAGGAGGTGGAGACTTGTACTCGTACACTGGAGGAGGTGGAGATTTGTACTGATACACTGGAGGAGGAGGAGACTTGTACTCGTAAACTGGCGGCGGAGGAGATTTGTACTCATATACCGGTGGAGGTGGTGATTTATATTCATACGTCGGAGGAGGCTTGTACTCGTAAATCGGTGGAGGTTGGTAATAACCTCTCAACTTACGTGACCCCGCACTTGCTTCTGCTCCAGAACACAGAAGCACAAGAACAGCCATCAAGGTGAACATCACCATCGCAGTCGATCGAGACATCTGAGCACAGTCTCCACGACTCCTTGAAAGGAGCTCCATGTTGCTCGTCCTCAGGTATGCACGTCCCAACGCACAATCGCAGCGTTTCGATCTCCAACAGCAGCACGGCTTCCAGACCCCTGGACTGCAAAAGACGCTCGAAAGGCCAAAAAATCCTTGAAAACTACCAATTGTCGAATAGATCTTCAATATAATGGAGGACTCTGTTGTAATCCTAGAAGACGGCCATAACTTGAGCTCGTGAGGCAGCTGCCAAGGGAGCCTTCGTCCTAATCTTCATCTTCCCAAGCGGAGTTCCGAAGATGAGCTGTGGCTGAATGACGAGAGCACTACCCAGACGCTTGTATTTATGCGAGTCCGGCCATCGTTGATCATCGTCTTGCATCGCGATAGACAGGAGTCAAATGGAAGACATGGGCTTTGTCAACCGGGCCCAGCTCAAGTCCAGCTCCAAAAAGTCTTCTCATACTACATCCGTTTGATCTCTGAAGACTTGCGGGTCGTCGAGACAATTTCAAAAGGTCTAAAAGGATTTCGAGTCTAAGCTGCATTAATTGCTTATCGTTTAGCCGACCGCGGCTCAGTCCACCCTGTACCTCACGTGCTACCGTCAACAACGTCAACATCGAAGCAAGAAATTTCTTCCTAGTCCTGGAAATAGCTGACTGATATCATCCCAGTCGATCTAGTCGCTGAAAATACTACACCACGACCTCGACACAACTGCAGAGTTCTTCACTCCATCGTTTCACGGAATATTTGCTAAAACTCTAGACATCAGCTTTCTGAACAAACAGTTTATCCGAACTGCACAGTACTTCGCATGGTTGTACGTGCCTAATTTTGCTTGAAAATGGAACTGAAAGTGGTGGCTCAGACAGTGAGACCTACATTTGGAAACGAAGATAAGCTGAGCATTACAGAGGTTCAAAAGAAGCCATGTTTAAAATACTGTGCTATGTCAGCGTCGATTTTTGTGCAGAAGGTGGGTACAAATACGAATGTCGGATTGGACTCGACAATCCGTTGATTGATATTGGCCTATAAATGACAAACCCGTGGTTGGACAAAGCGCACAACTGAGATCTTGCTGGAAGATTGTTGTCCACTCTCACATGCAAGTCATGAGTACGGAGCCCAATTCTCAAGCACTTGGGGGAGTGGCCCCCATTGGCTCACGTACATCAATGCATACTCAATGATAAAGTTCGGTCCGGATGATATCTGGCCTTAGTCAACTGTGTGAGGACTATTGACCTGGTTGCGAATTCACGTCGATGTCCATTCTATTTACGTCACACTTTCTCTGGCATGAAGCTTGCAGTAACGCGTGGTGAAGTCAAGGTTACATATTTCCAAGCATACAATTAACGGGGCAGGGCTGATCAAGATCTATGGAGGTCTAGCTTGGGAGGTTTACATTGGAATTGTTAGCACATACGAAAATCAGATTCAGCCTAAGTGCAAATTTATCAGCTCCACTTTTTAATCTAGGAGTAGATTTTTGAATTAATTTCCTCGTTCACTGAATAAGAACTGTGAATTATCATGCTAGATTAGGAGATTCACAGTTCTTATTCAGTGAACGAGGGATTGCTGAAACACCAGAACTCTGACATATTTCTCGTGTATAATTCAAAGGCTGGCCGGTGGATAACTATACCACGTTGAAATCCATCATTGAATGAACGAAATGCTATGGATGCCATTTCTGTCATGGGAAGACATGAGCTACTACTGTCGCTGCTTTTTAACGTTCCAGCGTCAACGACTTGCTTCGAGTTATCTGCTCCTTGTCAGAGAGCACGTGAAACATTTTGAAACAGTCATAGGGTACGATATTTACTTTATCATTTGTATGTGACCGCAGACGTGGATATTCGAACTATCTAGTACGTTCGAAGAACTGCTCCTCCATTCGGATCTGTTTCACCACCTTCTAACTGCAAGGTGGGATCCAACTTCTTGTAAGATGCTGAAGATTAATGGAGGCTTCTTTGAGCAGGTGTGCTGATGACATGACGATCGATTTGCTTGCTCGAGAAATACACTGAAAACAAGCAACGAGAAATGCAGTCGAACGTGCTCGTGCGTCCGCATCTGCTTCAAGTTATTATCTCTTTGTGCTGCAAGGTAAGCACGACGCATTTATGTACTACGTGACACTTACCTCCCAAGAGATGGCTTTCGATGTACTTACTACAAACCACCTTCAAAGCACTCTGCCTATTTACATTCACAGCTGGCCGTCTCCTCGTGTTCTGTATAGGACTAATGTCATCGTGGCTTTGAAACCCAAGCATCAAAATAAAAAAAATGCTTCTGGAAACGAGAATGCAGACAAATATTACCAGAAAGTCATGCAGATAAGGCGCTCATGAATTTTCAGAAATTGGAAAAGATCTCTCGTCGTCGATGGAACTGATGTTAAAGGTCACAAATCTATGACAGTGTGTATATGAATGTAGTAGTTGAAGTTGTGTCAATTTCCCTTGGTCGTTAAGGTGGGACCACATGCTGTACCCCAAACATAACTCCTAACGCCTCCTGAATCAGATAAAAATCTATGAAGGACTTTGTCGGTCTCTTTAGCTTTTCGATCTTGAGATGAGGCCATGCATGTCTATGAGTTGCTTGCTGTCAGTTAATCTCTTGGAAAAATAACAAATATCCAACTGAGCATTTTCTTACTATGCGACACAGATTCACCCACTTTCTCTTTAATGTTCATGAGGAGCATGGCTATAAGCAAGTCTCGTGCTCACGGCTGTCCAACATTATCTTAGTTATTATATCTGCATGCGCCTACTTTTCCAGGTCTTCCTCTACCCACTCTAAACAACCTCCACTACATAGACTTTGGTCGAAGCCGTCAATTCTTAGGATTATTTTGCTACAACAACCAGTAGAAATTAAGAAGTATCTCAAGCGTATGATATGAAAGGTTCACACGATCGATGCACTAACCTTCTACTTCAACTTAAAGTTATTCACATATTTCATGCAAATAAGTTTAACATCATACTTTACATATTTTTGTTAGGTACAAATATTATCACCTATCATTATCTTGGTACATCATTAACTTCCGTTATTTTCTCACAATACTTATATCTTCATATATTGACACAAATAATACTCAATCATAGTTAAGGCAGATCTACCAGCATATTCATTTTATCTATCAATAAAATTTACTTTTGGTGGGTGTAAGATAACAAGACTAAATCATACAATATGAAATGCGCAATTAGGCCTCGGCAAGGTAACTTTTAGGTTTATCCGATATATCTGTAAAAGATAGAGGTAAAAGGCTGGGTTATAGGTAAGGTAAAGGTAGAGCTGAATGGATTATCCGGTAAAGACCAGGTAATCCTTTACCATTGCAAAAGACAGAGTTCATGGCACGGCTCGTCGAAGCGTGAAACAAATAACCCGTAAACCCTAAATTACGGGCGACCCGGTAAATTACCCTATACAGAAGCTCAGCCTTTACCTTTTACCGATTTAACTGGTAACCTTATACCTTTTTAGAATGCAAACCAGGAACCAGGTAAATTACCCTTAGGTAGATAGTAGTGGTAGGTAAACGGTAAGGTAAAGGCCCATGCATTACCCGGTAACCTTTTGCTTTACCTTGCCTAGGTCTATTCGCAATCCATACCATAGTCAAACTTGACTACAAATTAAAGGGTTCATCCTTCTCAACAACATTCACCAATCAAAACCCTAATTGCTAGAAATCAATTGAATCACATCATAAAATTTCAAAATTTTCTCTATAAATTTTAATCTTGAATCCAGAGATTTATTAATGTTGGAATGTTCACATGGCACCAATTTTCAATAACGAGTGTTTCAAATCACACAATCATGAACGTCTAATATACAACATTAAAAAAAATTAAATCTCACATATGGATAAATATTTGGTACTAACTCAAAACCAATATAAACATCCACTGTCATTGGTGAATTTTACTTCAAGTAGACACAATCACAAACATGAAATCTATGACTTGAAAGTAGATATTCATCTGCTTAGATGATAACTTAACAAGTATATCTATGTTAAATAACTATGGCTCTCAAATGCCATGGATATAACCCAAAGGAAGAATTCGTAGCCAACATGAAAGATCCAGGGCTTCATTAATTTGCACGTAAATGTTTATAATTACTTAGGTTGTCTATCATAACATATAAAACACCAAAAAATTGAGAAATATAGTGAAACATTCAATCCAAGTGACCAACACAAGAGACGTCGTATAATGTGGTTCATCTTCAAAAGGTCTATTTACGCTGGGAAATATCACTCGTGAGGATTATTCCAGGTCTTTAAAGAAATAATGACTAGGGTATTTAACCCCAGTCATTATTTAGTTGGGACCTAAGGTTACTCCTTATCTGGAGTTCACCTCAACAAAAGAATGATTCTAAGAGATGCTTTGTGGATAAATTGATAGCACATGTTTGTCTATGGTAGCTTAATGTCTCGTTCTCAAAAATAATACGCTAGGTAAGCAATGATTTCGACCCTTCCATATTTCATTCCCGATATACTTGAAATTGATGAGTCCTCATAGAATTAGGGGGGTTAGAATTACATTTTAAAGTCCAAGAATAACTAGCATTCTAATTGAATATGAGGGTTATAATACACAAGATCGACTCCACCTTGGTTTATGGAGCTTTGCTGGCTTTTGAAAGAGCTGACAATGTACAATGCAACTTGAAGCCATGATGAATCAATCTCTCAACCAAGAAAGCCAATTTCTATATTGGTTCATCAGAGTTTTATTATTTTACTACCTTAACTTCAATAGTACCCTGGGCCAATCAACTCAGGCTAGGTCTTAGCTCTCTTGGACTCTGCATCCTGTGAATGTGAACTCCATCTTTTTTGTATTTTTATTTATCAGATAGGATGGCGGAAAAATCCAAAAATAAATTTAAATATTATTACAAATATTTACGAAATATTAAAGAGTCAATATTCGACTGTGAATTTTTAAATCTTATATAATTCATTCAAGTCCACTACCTTTTATTTTTGCTCTTGTTACCCGACCCATGTCGATTTGGAACAGGTGTAGTCTCTTTGCACTTACATGTCTATAGATCATGCTTTTCCCAAAAGCAAAACCTTTTGTGCAAGTTGTAGGTAATCAGAATGAGAAGCAGGAGTCAAAGGGGGGTCATGCTGGACGAGTGAGAATGAATGCGTCATCCTTGCTCGACACAGAGCTCGAGGTCTCTCCTTCTGATCGAGCCCGATTTTCCTCGTCCAGCACTATCTATCAATGATGACCGTCTGGGATACGAGTCAACTTCCTTCAAGATCAAGAATCTCGGGACGTTGGAAACGTTTACTTTGTCAACACATTCAATGCCACTCACGACTCTGAAGTCTACGTAGCAAGGGCGGACTCCAAGACCAATCTCAGATAAAGCTGAAATAATTGACGCCGTGACGCTTTGATAGCTGATCTCAACTGCTCCAAACCTTGGAATTGGCATCAGATGTATAACTTGGACCTTGCAACTAAATTTTTTCCATTCAGTGCTAAAAGGAGCACTAAAAATTTGACTGCAAGCTGAAGGAACGGCATGTACTGAAGGTTATATTACAGCATCCAGGAGATCTAGATTTGATCCAAAACGGTTGGTTGATTCCCAAATCGCCAAAGCTGGACGACCGTGTGGTACAAAAGCGCGTACATATCCACGGTAACTTCGAATTTGCCTAATTGAAGGACTGCTGGCAAAGAACCAGCTCAAATAAAAGTAAGCGATGTGCAAACGCTGAAAGTAAGCTAGTCTAAACTATCAACTGCAAACACATACAACACTTACAAGCGCAATACGAGTCCAGCAGTCATAAGTGAGAAAGATGATCGCACCTATGAGAGTATCGAGTATATCACGCAAAGACATCACTTTAACTTTAGAGACCTAAACAAAACTTGCTAAGCGGAATTAAATTCTTTCGGACTGCTCTCCGAGCCTCTAATTCTGAAACAATTTTTTTCCAGCCTCATTCCAAGACGGTTTTCTCTGTTTAGGTGGATCAGAATCTCTTCTTCTGTGAAGATTAGCAAAATTCATGTACAATCTGTTAGCAGTGCCGACGCACTGAGTGAAGAAAGTGGACAGGGATTGGAAGGAAAACGGACGAAGGTCACGGTCCAATTACAAGAGGAACTGACAACATTGATCAAGATTAGCTCTCCAAAGTACAGCGCCTGTCTACTCAGACTCGATGAAGCTGACAGTGTGCTGCAAAGGGCCAATCATATTGCGACTACTAGCTAGAACGTGAGCACATTCCCTGACAGAAAGGCAAGGACGGTAACTTAAAGGCACATTAGGTAGCTCATTGTTCTTGGATGTTGGTTGATGCTCTAGGATTCGAGTCCAAAATTCCCTCATGCCGGCTCCAGCTGTCAGATGTTCCTTCTGCAAGCTGTGACGAACGAGTTCGAATGCATCAGGTGAACAAACATTGCTCGCACGATTCTTATTTCTGAATCTGGTGTTCTCGAAGTCCTGAGTGATATTCTTCTGTTCGCCCAAGCTCTGCAGTACTCAGGCTCTGGGACTTGTATCGGTAGATATGAATGCTGAGCTGACGAATTTCTCGATCAAGATGGTGAGCAGTACGAGCAAGAGTTGCATTGTCCGCTATGTTCACTTGGAAGTCTCAGATCAGATTAGCCCGCCGCCGGCGGGGGAACGGAGGCGTTTTGCAGGTATGGAGGTTTGAAGGGATCACGGTAGGGATTAGTGCGGATGACGAATTTTGTAGAATGTGAAATGCACGCAGGCCGGAGATCGGTGGATAAGAAACCGGCAGAATATCTTTGCACCGGTGCCGGACCCTTCCTGCCCATGGGTGGAAACTGTATGTGTGGCGGCGGAGGATCTGGTTGCGGCCGCTCGCTGTCAGAAGCGACCTTTCGAGCCTCTGGTTTAGAAAGCAGTTTGTATAGACCACACCCCATGGCCCATCCTCAACTCCTCATTCGGCCATGCATCGATTTCAGTCGATGGCCTGCGTCTCTGATACCAGACATCGTGGACCCTTCCTCCATCGTTTGGACCTTGACCCTTAAGATTGCTGCCAAGTCGAGGAAGAATATAAAGCGAGCCAGTGTCGCAGCCAATATTCCTCTAGCCCTTGGCCTCCTCAAGATGGAATTATAATGACAGCTTTGAGGAATTCAGTTGTCCCGTGTCCCGGACCCCAATGGTAGCGATCAGGTGAAAACAGTGATAATTCTTCGCCATTTTATGACCAGCATTGCGCTGTGTCGTCTCTGATCAGGGCGATCGTTTCTTTGGGTTCGTGTTCGATATTCGGAATGAATAATATGCTCTGGATACCTCATCAATCGGGTTATACCGTTAAATTGGATCAAATCCGGGGAGAACAAGTCGCACAGAATAGCAATTCTCGCCGGCTGCATCCTCTGGAGAATAGCGTGAAGTAGATTAGATTAGAGTAGAGTAGAGTTGCGAAATTCCGACAAAAGGAAAATTTCTCTACCAGTCGTATTTCTTGCTTAACCAAATCCTAGTTAAGCATGAAATTTTTGCCACTGAGTTTGCATTCTCTAATAGTTCAAAGTTAGTCTGCCCGCAATCACCTTTTCATCTCGGCTGGTGCTCATACCATGCTGTCACCAGCCACGTCGTTCCACAAAATGTCAAAATTCTTTCGGTCATCATATGGCCCTGTGGGAATTCTACCCTGAATCTGGTTGTTCATGGAAAACACACTCTCCACAATGTATGTCGAAGGTTTTCAACCCCTATATTTCTGAATTCGTAGTCTGAACTTTGTCGGGAAAGTGGTAGTTCGACCCGATGGACTTGCCGTCCTGAAAGGTCATCTTCAGATAGCGCCAAAAACCCGCATCTTCTGATTGATGGCCACATTGAAGAAGCGAAAGAATAAATATGACAAATGTGACTTGTCTCATCAAAGAGGTCAAATGCACGCACGCTCAAATCTGCAGGCATCGAGTCTGCAAGCTTGAAGAAAAGAAAACACGCTGTTTGACATCCCCAGGTTTTGCCTGAGCGTGTCAAATACAGGCAGTTGCTGAAGTCTGGAGATTGTGTTTTAACCATTTGAAACGACCCAAGGCATCAAGGCCATGGAGTCTTCTCGTATGCCCACTCGAATTGCTTTTATGTACAAGCACCGTTGTGATTCGACGCTTGGAGGCCCGCAGCGACAATCACTTTAATGTGATCGATGTGGACATTGCGAAGTAGATCACCGAAGAGCTCCATGCAGCCCCAACCCCGTCCTAGATTAAATCAAAACCTTGAGTAGCGAGAAAATTTCCCATAACAGAATGCAATGGCATGCTGGCCTCACATCCTGCAGCCTGTTGGTATTTCAGTTGTCGTGGATCATGTCACAGGATGCATTTGTCGATAGAGTTTGGCATTATAGATCGGTGATATGGGAAAGAAAATAAATTGCTCTCTCGCCTACCCCCGCCCAACCCCAAACCTGAGGAGATCAAGAAAACGTACAATGGACGGATTGCAACCAGAAGAATTTCAGTAGGTGGGATCACATCTGAGGAGTACATCTCAGAAACAGATAATTTCAGAATCCTCAAGAAATTATCTTTGCGTTGGTACTTGTTTGACCGAGGTTTTGGACTTCCAATCACTCTTCGTGTTCCAGATTATGAATGTTGGTCTCTAGACTTGATTGGTACTTCGGTAGAGCTCACAGACCGGTAACATTGGCAATCTAAGACCCGTGAAATTGGCTTTAAGTTACAATTTTCAACTCTTGACATGTGCAAGGTCTTTCAGTCACCTGTATTGACTGTACTGACCATCAACGTAAAATTGGATCGTCTCTTCGGGGGCAGCAGTGTGTAAATATTCTCTTTTGCAAGAAAATTATTCATAGACCAGTCACCACCTACAAATTTGAGCAACTCTTGGCCAGGTATTCCAGTTCCCAGCACTGTTCGCAAATCAACTTGAACTTACAGTTTTCATTAGCACATTTCTGTTGGCGTAAAGTGGCCTTTTGGCGTCTTTCGCTTGATTCTCTAGAAGTGCCTTCTACAGCATCCCGTCTATTTATTTGAGTAGTGCAACTCAATTTGAGAGTTGCATCACTCAAAAGGTTTAGGTTGATCCTCCTCATTATCATCAAGATTGCCCCAAAATGGATGGATTTGGGAGGGCCAATTTCCAGTACCATGGCTGGTAGGAATACGGAATGAATCTCTCTCTCTCTGTTATGAATGTCATTCCATCAGTTCGACAGGTTTAACACTGAAAGCACAACACTGATTTGTAGATTTGTATATGTTAGATGCAAATCCTGAGTGTACTCATCTTATAGAAGAAGGTACTCGTGAATATTATCAGTGTGTCTTATCAAGTTTTGCTCTAGAAGAAAATCTTGAGATCAGGATAAAAATACTTTTCTAGGTTATCGGAAAGACTCAAGCTTTGAACCTGAGTCTAGAGCCTGAAAGTTCTAGGCTCCAGACTTGGATATCATTGGCCGAAATCATTTCACCTTAAAACTACACCACGCGAGGGGGAAACACAAAGCAGTCAGGAAACCGATGAGCTTGCCTTGGATGACAGATTCAATTCAGATTCTCGTGTACAACATTGATGAGGGAAGGTCAGAGCAAAGAATAGTAACATCTGCTTGACCAGGGAGAATTTGAGGAGCGAAACAGATGTAAGATACCGCAGCATCGACAAATTTCTCTTCACTCGTTAGTCCGAAACATGATTCTCTGTCTTTCAATCCAATTTTACCGGCATGAAGAGGATCAGAACAAGATATTTCTGCAGCACTTCGACTATTTACCTTTCATCATCCTATGACACATTAGACTGTTTCAACTCTTTGAAGAAACATTGCACACTCAATGATGAAGTGTTTTTCAATTCTGCCCCACAAGATCCCTCTATTTCTGAAAGTGACCTCGTCATGTTATTTATCTCGAAAGTAGGTTTTCTTTTCTGTTTCGACTGAGGTCACTGCTTTCCAAATGCTCACCTTAAAACTTGCGGAATAATATTGTTTTCTTAGATTGGGAGTGTTTCACGTCAATTGGTTTACTTGTAATTGACATTCAGATTCATACGAGTTGAGCTTGCCGCAAACTTCGTCATAGGTAATCAGACCGCTCATATTTGAGACCCAATGACAATTTGTGCAGGCAGAAACTTCGTTACAACCGATCCCATCTATGGCAGAACCAACGAGTCCCAGTTGTAGCCAACCTTGCAACTGTCGAAGGAAGGAAACAGCTTAACATACATGCAAAGAGAGGATACTAGAGTTGGTGTTGGGAGCGACAAATAACAAAGTTGACTTGGGGCTTCTGACCAAAATCGTCAGAAGTGGTCCAAGCCAAGGCTGACCTGGTGCTGGAGATGGAGTTGCTGAGAACAGCTCGAGGACGAGAAAAAATGGCACGTCCGAAGGGACATGGTGATTTAGAGTGGAGGAGGGAATCGGCAGTAAGCGAATCGTAGACTTTGTAGCTCAATTGCAAGTCATGAATCTCACTGCAGTGCAAATCCTGCCTGCAATCTCGAAGCTTCACTTATTCTGGATCAAAGACGGGAAAAATCCACAGCACATTCCAACTCATACACACTGCTGTACGTGTCAGTCAGCTCTATCGCAGACTATGACCTTCAGAGCATTCTGGACTCTGTTGCTTCATCACTCAGCCATGTGCATTTCATCCTCCATCACAGAGACGTGCACTCCGTGACCTAATAAAAACTCTACTCTTGCAAGATCTGTTTCTAAACTCTCCAGCTTCATGAACGCATCCACCACATCTGCCGTGTTCAGGACGAATGTGCGCCTGGAACTGGTGTCAGTGTACGATACAGCATTCGGAGTCACCGTTGACTCGCATTGAGCATCATCTTGAGCTTCCAGATGATGACGGTCGCCACATCCTTTTTTCCATGACCCACCTGAGGTACCCTCTGTTTTCAAGCATCTATCGTTCTGTCCACAACCGAATGTTAGCTTTTTGGAGCATTTGCCGCCCGTGTAAGCAATGCCCAAATTGGTGGTTCCAATGCCCTTCCACCGGATGTACTGGACTTGCAAGTTTGTGAAATCGCAGCACTTTTGCGGTCCAATGTCTTTGCACATATACGCCGGTCCCTTGCAGTAGCCTCCCTTGCCTGGAAAGCCAAATATGTCAGCTCCCAACGCCCACGGGAGCACAGCCTGAAGCAGCAGCAGGCACAGAGAGAGCCTCACGGACATCTTCATTGCGAATCGTTATCAGCAGCCCGATGCGATCCTAGACGCACAGAAATTTCACAACTCAGAAGTTTTCTCAATGCAATAAGAAGTCAAAGGCTTCATACAAGTTGCAAATCGATCTCGCGATCGTTGCTGTGTTTGAACCTTACCACGAAGGAACAAGGAAATGGGAGGACCGAAGGGTGTGACGGAGACAGAGAAGGTTTCAAGATAGTTGGCTCTATATCTGGATCTGAAATCTGTAGATGGTGCTAGATCGATCAGCTGAATCCATGACACTGGAAAGGGGATGATCGTACTCAAACATTACCTGAACGGAAGCTTTGTAGGGAAAATCTGAAGAAACCCAGAACCTCTTTTGGGCTGGCGCAATCCTATTGATGATGCATCGTCTGAATCCGTGAGCGACGAAGAAACCTCTTGTGGGGTACGCAGCCCAAATGTCTTTTGACTCTTCTCACGGAAGAGGACAAAAGGTTTTCCTGGGATCGGTGACTGTTGGCCCATGGACTTGTTAGCGCGTTTGGCGTTGCACGTTTGAAGAAGATGTCCATTGCCTGCAGGACTCTGGACGACAGTGTTCAGATCCTGCGACGATCCTGTATATACTCGAAAACGTTACTTCAGGCCGAAAAGTTCTTCGTCATTAACATAGATTCGTGATCCACTCCTGTTGTGTTGCTTTGATGTCCGTGCTCAGCGTATGACCTTGTGCTAATTAGCTCGTTTCTGTCAACACTCTCATCAAAGGGCACCGACTTGCATTTTTGAAGGCAAGGTTTGGTCCGTGCTACGCATAGAATTTCCAGAGAGTGGCTTTTGCAGAGGAGAATTGAACATATGGAAGAGTCACAGTTATCCATCAATCCATACATCGCAGTATCTTCCTTTGGGAGTCCTGATAAAAAACCTTGCTCGGTGACCTGATCAGAGACTGTGACATTTTCAACAGGACAGAGCGCGCTACCTCTTGTCGAGTCGATGAGGGCGTGCACGTCCCTCTTTCTTCAGATAGACACACTCGGTCTGCCTGCAGGTGAGTGCCAGGGAACAAACCGATGCTCAAGTTGAGCCTGTCATTGATGACCCTGACAGGTTACTAGAGCCAGACAAGAGTATCATGAACATTTTTCTGGTTATGGTAAAGCATAGTACAGTGGGGGAGAAATCGATTCGGAAATACTGGAGAATGTCTTACAGGGTCAACACCTGTTCACGTTACTGACACCTGTGTCATTTTCTTAATGGTAGTCATTCTTCGAGTCACTAATGCTGGTGGAAGAGGCAGTAAAGCTGACTTTATTCACTGAGAAGACGAATCTCGATCACGTCAGTGACAGTGTTCATCATTGCAAGTACTTCAAGAGTTGTTCCCTGTTTCAGGACCCAAGGAACCACATTCATTATGTGAAGTACAAATGAGGAAAGACGAAGAATGAGAGATAGGCTCGGCACTATTAAGCCACCTATTTCACCCGTTGTACATCGATGGACGGGGGCCTTAAACAATCTGTTGCACACAGCCCTTCAGTTCTGAGTTGGGCCGCTGCCGCATTGGAAATCTTGAATCGTCAATCATTCAGATTGTCAACAAGCTCAATCTTAAATGGTCTGAAAGAAAGGACTTCCACCTCAGTCTCTCTTTCTTCGGGCAAGCGGGAAAGAGCATTGACAAGCAGTTTCAAAAATGCGAAGTGAATCGAGGAAGATACGAGGAGGGGTTCAGATTTGTTGATATTTATCCGAAATTGGGCCTGGAGTGAGAACTCCCAGGATCTCAACGCTGTCTTTGAATGTAATGAACTACGATTTTCATCAATTTTCCTTTGTCAGAAGATGCTACTCAGTTCAGAGGGTCAGATTTAACCATCTCAGATATACATTCGACTTTCTCCCCATTGTCACAAACCCACGATCTGCACTCGAATACATAGCATCGTCATTAACAGAACGCGAGTTTAGTAAAGTCTGGGATATCCTCCACCTCCTTGTAGTTAACTCTAACTGAGCTGATCTGGCATCATCCAATATCGATTTTGATTTCATTTTCTTCTTCTTGGGTCTATCATTCCTCCGTTGATCATGGAGCTTCCTTCGCACTAATTTCAGCTGATGAAATCTTCCAAATAACTATTTTTATAAGGGTAGGTACTTTGAGAAGAAGTTCTCTGGCATCTCTGTACTTCGGGGATTGCATCACATTGGTGAGAACAGTTTTGCAACCAAGGCATCCACCACCATCCGGCGCTTTCAAGACGAATATGAGCCTGTCAATAAACCATCCACCATGATTGAGTATCTTCAAACGCACGAACCCGTCTCTTCCGTAACACATTTATACTAGTAGATTTATGTACATACTCGTAGTTCACGGTTGCTTGAGGCAAGTTCTGAGCCAAAGTCGTTCATGTTGAGCTGGCATCTAGCAGGACAGGAATCTCTGCTACTAAACTGTGAGCATCTAGACCATTGAATGAGTCTCTCGTCAAAGGGTTGAACAGCGATCAGCTGAATATGCTGAGATCCTTAATTTTGATTCTGTTGAACTATGTCTAGACTACATAATAATGTCTTAACATAGTTTGAGCGATCGAGGATCGAGGATCGAGGATTGATCGAGGGAGACTGCTACGACGTTAGGTAGCAGTCTCCCTCGATCACGTCCAGGACACCTTGCTCTGGCTCGTCTGTATAAAATACGGAGAGCACAAATCGAAGACTGTACATCATGTTCGATCGGTATTTACAATATTCTCCTCGGCCAACAGTTCCGAAGACTTCTCATCCTTTCAAAATATGTAAACTGTTTTTATTGCCTCGAGTTGCAACATTTACAAGAAACCTGGAGTCCTCGATTGCTGGCACCTACTGCTCGGGCCTGATGTCAGCTACTATTGTACAATCGAGTTTAAATGGAGAAACCCTTCTGAAACCTGGTGATGCTGAGCTCAGGATTCATAGCAGTACGAAAGTGACAGCTCAGGAGAACATATAGAAATATAGAGCCGTTTATTCCTCTCCTCACCTCCAGTCCCAGTTGCAAAATTAAGCTCCTCTCGTCAAAGTGTCCATATCGATCCATCACAAACTCATATCTTTCATTTCAAAAGCTTGAAGCGCTTCCTTGCAGGTCATGTCAGATGTTGGCTCCGCTGGTTTTCGAGTTCTTCCATGTCACACGTTCAGTCAATTTTTTCGCTCGCTTGAAGTTTCTCCTCGAGAATGCGGAATTTGTGCTTAAGGTCTTCCAATTCAGTCAACCGTTTGTGCACGCGGTTTATCACAGCAGCCAGGAGGACAATGGTGCCGAGCATGAGACACTCCAATTCGGAATTACGTTGGAGGGCTGACTCCGCCAGAATTACATTCATGGCTGCTCCACTCGCTTTCAGATCGTGTAGTGCAGTCGAGTGCAGATACGTGTAAACCGACAATCCAAAGAGAACGCAGCAAACGACGTGCAAAGTCCTCGTGACGTGCTTTCCTCCGGAACTCCTGCTGAAACTCAATAAAAATCTCGCCAGCCTTGCCACGGGCGTCAGTATCGTTATCATCGACAGCAGGATCACCCATTCTGCTATCACAATAACGAAGTATATGAATGGCATCATCGTATTGGTGTACATCGATCACTGTGATGCAATCCAGCAGATCAGCTGGGCTAGACCTGAATTCTTTTTTTTTCGATCTAGCTACTCCTGAATGCAATGTGATCACGAGCTCTACAATACAGCCAGACTGACTCACAGTACGAGATCAGCTTGTGCTGCCCACATCAAAGGCACTCCCACCATGGCCACCGCGGCTAGAATTTTCAAAGCCGAAGCATTTGACGGGAACGGTGCAGGACTGCAGACTTCGGCTCCGTCACAAGGAGAACTACCTCCTTCTCTCGTGATCGAAGGCTTTTATCTTGATGTATAACGAGCGGTTTGAGTGCTGCTGAAGAAGCGAAGTGTTTTCAAAGATTCCTCGATAGAGCTTCGGCAGACGCGGGGGCGGAATTTCACTGTCCATTATGTATGCGTCAAAGCGGAGTCAAGGGAGTCCTCATCAATGTCACTGAACGTGGCCACCAAAGATTCAGACAAACAATTTTTGTCTGAATTGTCTGATTGTTGGCCGCTCATCGTGCTCGCGCCTGGGCCTGGGTCGCATAGCACTGACGCACTGCACACATGTGAACTGGTACAAGCTGAGAATGCACTTAGAAGCTTGCATTTTATTCTTAAATATGTGGAGCGCATCGAACATGACTCGTCCGAGCTTCTTGAAGCTCGCTCGAAGAATCCTTTCTGTGGATTCACTACTGTACAATTCTCAGTTACTCCAATTTCTCAAGCTACCGGCTGTCCGTCTCGCTTCTGCACGCGGACTCACAGAACAACGCTGATATCGTTGTTGCGCACTGCCAATCGATTGGCGCAAGTCAGTAGAGGACGATGAAGAATTGCTGGTGGCTACGCTTGCACTTGGTCAGTGCTAGTTCTACTTTCGTTATCAGTGCTGGTACCATCAGGTATAAAAAGGTTTTTCTAAAAACCCGAAATATCTATTGTTATAAAATAGTGTTTTAAATCTAAATCTACTATTGGTTGAAGAGTACGCTGCTGCAATTTTGAAGTTAAATAGCCAGTGATAAAATAATAATAAACAAATGAATAAATAATTGTAGAATCTGAATGAACGAAAATCAACCTAGGAGCAAATTATCAAAGATAATAAACCTAGTAGCACACGTTGTACTCTTACAATGTGTGTTATCAGAGAGTATCATTAATCTAAAATTATTTTATATTGATAAAAAATTTGGTTTTGATAGCACATGGGTATACTATCAATTTTTAGAAGTATGAACTATTTGGTATGATATTCATTACATTATTCTGATTAGATAGTAATAATCTAATACTATCGATTTAATTTTAATTGAATTAAACCATTTTCATAATTTCTGGAAAATAATTTTTCATAAAAATCGGGTTACTTCCCCACCCCGTCGACTGTGATGCTATCGTTTCTGCCATAAATTTATTAATATAATTGACCCCATAATTTTTTATTTTATTTTCTTGAGGACGATAGCATTTACTCTACTTTTGTAGTCACCACCTTCCACCCCGTCGTCGTTGAGTCCACAGTTGACTGTGACCTGAAACTGTGGGGGACATCCCACAAATTCTTTAATTTATTTGACTCCCAAAAAGTATTTTTTTATATTTCTCCTGGTCTCGAGGACGATAGCTTTCACTCTAGCTTTTGTCTTCACCACCTTCCGCGCTGTCCAATGTTGAGTCCACAGTCGACTGTGACCTGAAACTGTGGGGGACATCCGAACAAGCTAACTAGACCACTGCGTGACAATGGACGCGACACGTACGTACAGTATTTACTTCGTTGGATTTTGAGCTGTGCGGCATGTTTCGACATGGAGCTTCGGCCCTGTCTCAGTCACTTGTACCTCATGAATTGCCCTGCGCTGGTTATTGCCAGGCTTGGCCACGGGCCGGTTTACGATTAACCGGCCCAGAGAAAATTTGGGACTGGTTAACCGAGATCCACGATTAACGGTCCGGACCGTGGCCAAGAAATGCACTCCGGTACATTACATTAGGGTGATAAATTTTCCGGTTTCGACGGTGGCCAAGTCTCGTCAATGGCAGAGCTCGGAAGCGTGTTGGTATTATGCCAAACAACTGTGCAACAAAGCAGATATTAACCTACTATTACTTCTATGAAGGATACTATTTTTTGAGAATATATAGCTTTATTTCTATTGACGAAATTTTTACTCAATGTTATGCATGATTTACACTCTAGATTATGCAGATCCTATAGGATTGAGAAAAAATTTTGCAACTTGTAATTTTTTTTACATAATAAATTACTAGATACGGAATAATATTGTCATTTTCTTTTTGTTTAAATATATTTATATTAAAATATCATATCATATAAATTTATATCCATTTTGAAAAATATATAAAAGTTGTATTTCAAACCGTCCTACATTCAAATTGTTACATAGACATATTTGACAAATTATATTAACCAAATTTTTTTTCATAGTAAGTAAAGTAGAGAAAACATGAAATAGACTATGATAACAACACGGATGTACTATTTTCAAGAACTTTTCAATGTGGTCGTTTCCGAATAGTAAATTCATTTTTGGAACAAAAAGTTCTAAGATGTAATCATCTTAAGTTAATTATAAGTAAAGTAGAGGTTACTCAAGATTGAGTAAAGTAGATGATAGTGGAATATAAACATTGTCACGTCAACAATATGTGTGCTAGTTGAATGTGATAATTAGTGTGTTAGTTAGAAACTACACGTCATCAGTCCATGTGTATGTCGGGTAAGAATTGAATGTGCTAGTGGTGTGTTAGTAGGAGCAACACGTCGACAATCTGTTTGCTCATTACATAATGAGCACACGGATTGTCAACGTGTATCTCCTACCAACACATGTCACATTCCGCCATGTCATCAATTCACTAGGAGTGTATTGGATTATAGGGTATAAGATTTTATCTCCTTGTACTTGTTAAAAAAAATTATATAAAAAATAATATAATTATTGTTGGTATTTTTTATCTTCAAAGTTTATATTTTCATCGATTTAGTTTTTTCTCTAAATCTTAGTGTTACAATGGTATTAGAGTAACATTGTTCTTTCCTTGAGTGTGCATTACACCATATGGAAAAGCAAGTGATTGCATATGGAATGCAGTTTTGAGAATGTATAGAGGTTAACAGGTTCATTCATCAGCATGTATAGATAGGAGAAAACTGTAAAATTGTGATTTTGTAGATATGGATGGATTTGACAAGAATCCAGTACTGTAGTGGCCGATTTCTAACATATTTGACATTCACCTTTGTTGCATAGAAAAACATCATTTTCGAATGTACCTTGTGACTTGTTGGGATGTAGATTTTATTACTAGAGTGATGAAGTCAAGAGTGCCACTGATTTTTTCCATAGTTAGTTATGGAAAGATTTGAAATTGTATTATATACTATCTAGATTAATGTTTCATGGATTTGAATACCTAACCACCAGATCCGGTTCGGTTCAACATATATGCAGAGATTAAAATAGTTTATGGACAAAAGAAATTGTGAACAGATTTTCTTGTGAGAAATTATACAAAAGATTATTATAGAGTTGTGATCGAAGCACTTGTAAATTTTATGACTTTTTTGTTGAGAGGTCATGTAGCGATTATACTTTGTATTAGAGTGAGTGCAAAAAAACATGAAGACATCAATCAATATGGATGAGTATCTCAATGCAATCATGACAAAGATGAAGGAGTTGAGAAAACCGAAAGTAGATTGACACATCAAACTGTTGATACATGACTTCTGAGAGTGTTGGAGCTTGCACTGTAGCGATAGGATAGATAGTATGGTAATAGAATAAGCTACCGATGTAACACCATAACAGCTTAAGAGGCAAGGCAAGTGGCGCTTTAGGTTAACGAGCCGACTGTGATGGTTACCGCGCCACACGGCGTCCCTTGATGACATCTACTTAAGGTGTTATTTTCAATAACAAAAACTATTTGTGTGGAGTGACTTCTTGTTAACACGATTCTCTACATGGTATCAGATCCTGGCAAGAATGACTTGAGCCAATCTGACTTTTACAGAATAGCTAGTGAGTCTAGTGGTTGCTGAATAGATCAAAGTGTAAGGAGGTTAGAGCTGTATTAGTGTAATATCAGATAAGTCGTTCATCATGCCACTATGACACTTCGTGAAGTCTCCATGAAGAAGCATACAAGTTAGAAGAAAATAGCAATTATAGTGTCTGGAGCTTTAAGCTACGCAACATGCTTTGCACGGAAGATCAGTAGAAGCTCATAGAGCCATCATTGGGCACTTTAGCGCCAATCAATGCTGTTGAACTTGATGCTTTGCAGGTGGAAAAAAGCAAATCGCTTACGATGATCGCGTTATTAGTTAGAGATGATGTGATACCATACATTGTCAATATCACAGAACTAGATGTCTGTTTGGCGACGTTCAAGGCATTGTACGCGAGCAGCTCGAACCCCCGCAAACTCATCCTACGACGGAAACTCACAAGTCTGAAGCTGGATGAGAGAGGGTTCATGTCAACGTTTCTACAACATCTCAAAGAGTTCATCGAGCTTGTCTATGCATGGGAGATAATCACAAATGAAGAAATTGTCGAAATCATCCTTATGGCACTGACCGAGAGCTACGAAGAGCTTATCAACACAATCATGTATCGACCATCCCTACCAAGCGTTGCTGAGCTTACGATCATCATTCTTTAATATGAGATACGAAGAGAGATTTGGGGTAAAAAAACAAGGCAAATGCGAGGCTCTTCTCGTCAAGTCAAAGAACTTCATGAGGCAAAAGAAACATCTAGAGGCGACAATCTCAGCAAGGGAAAGAAGATCCACATCGAGTGTCACTTCTGAAAATCAAGAAATCAATAGATGCACAACTATCCGAGCTCGCAGCTGAATTCAAGAAACGACAAGCCGATTGTAGAGAAAAAACGACTATCAATCTAGTAGATAACTTTGAAAACGATGAGGACGATGACTATCCAGGTCCGATTGTGAACTAACTGTAAACTGAACTGAACTGAACTGAACTCAATATTGTGAGCAATGTACTACTTAGACCGAGGGGTACGTAGACAGTGGCGCTTTCAAGCATGCTACTGGACGCAAAAAGCTACTTAGTGAGATAGAGTGAGGAAGCAGTTCAAAAATAAGCACCGCTAGAGTAGAAACTTTGAATGTTGTTGGAAAGGGCAAAGTAGAAATTCCCTTTCACTCAGGAGAAATAAAATTTGATAACGTTATTTACGTCCCGGGAATCACAAAGAATCTTTTGTTAGTAGGAACCATAACAGATGGCAAAGAAAGATTCAAAATACAATTTGACTCAGATAGGGTCTGGATAGCAAAAAACTTTCGCATTCCGAGTGCTCATCATGTTGTTACAAAAGATCATAGTAATTGCAAAAACGGATTTTACAAATTCCTGCCCCCAAAAGATTCGATCAATAGTGTGT